GGCATACTAATAGAAGGTTTTCATAATAGTGCTACCATAAATTTAGTTTGCAATCTCCAATTTTGGATTGCATCACTAAACTGACCTCACAAGGCATCTGCCCTACTCTGCAGACTGGGGTGTAAGGTGTGCGAGACCAGGCATTGTGGACTTCAAGCATATGCACTTTGAATTTTAATGATATTGTTTTGTGAATTTATTCAATCACAATTTTTGAGTGACCGATTGATATTTATTTCATATTCAGCCACCTCAATTCTCTTCGTAACACACCCATTTTATTAATTTTGCAAAGATGATCTTTTCAAATGAAGCTAAAGGGATGCAGTGAAGGTAGGGTGAGTGTTTTTTTCTGAATCACCCCGAGATCTGATTTCCAAAAATACAAGCTCTAAAAAGCATCTTATCAGTCTACGAAATAAGTGGATGAGGTTTTGCACCTGCTAATTAAATAGAACAACAGTCTCGGAGACTTTGCAACTGAGAAAACACAAATATAAGTTTATTTTGCAGGAACTAAGCATTGTGTTTTACATGAGAAATTAAAATTGCAAACAATCAGATGTAAATTTTCGGTAAACATTAACAAAAAGTCTGGAACGATGTATTTAAAAAGGGCCTAACCGGTGGCTGCAAGATAATTTCCCTGGCTTTGCTGCCAACAAAACTTCACCAATCCTCCTCCATGAACTCTCTCTGGCACAGTGAATACCCGCTTCATCTTTAAAAGCTTTTACTTCAACCTGATCGCAAGAATTCCATAAGATAATCATGAAAAATGACAGAAGACGCGAAGAAATTTCACTGAAAACAAATTTTGAAACTTCAGTTTCCAAGCGACTGGCAAATATGGCGATAGAAACAGCAACAACAGCATTGCTCCTCCGCACAAATTTGCGATGGTATTCAATTTTGTTCACTTTTTCATAAAATTTGCTCTCTTTTCTCTTTCCTTAATGTCATTTTTCATTATTTAAAGATAGTATAATCTTTATTTCATGTTATTTTTTCATTATTCATAGATAGGATCCTTATAAGCTTTGGGGCATAATCCCGCCTACAGTAATAAAAGACTAAAAATAAATTGATTAAAATCATGTTAAAGATACAATGATAAAAATTAGTACAATGGAGATATTTTCTAAAAATGCTAAGGCAAGAAATTCTCTAGCCTAATTAGAATTTAGAAAAAGGCAAAGCGCTGAACATCTAAAGATAACTGATTTTAGGGGTTTTTGACCTTGGAAGATAATTTTCATGGACGTAGCGGATGCTAAGCGTTTAGGGGCAGGGTCTTGCCTGAATATCGTTGCTTAGATTTCATTTATAACTGCCCGTATCATGGGCTCCGACGCAGGTTGGAAAGTGGAGGGGCCAAGCGAAAATAAAACAATCACAACCAAGGTTTTAAAAGAAAGCTTTAATGTTTTGCAAAAAAGTGAGGGGGCCATGGCCTGGGTAGGGCCAGGGTAGGGTCTTGCCTGAATATCGTCGCTTCAATTTCATTTATTATAACTGCCCGTATTGAGTTTGGAAGCATGGAATGCGATAAAATCTGCCTAACTAGGGCGTTGAAATACCTCACGCCCCTCTTCTCCTCACCTATAATGCTTTGTGCTTAATTGTAGCTGTCTATCTTTCTTTCATATCAAGAACTGTAGGCCAATAAGTTTGTTTTTGACGGCATCTTTGTTGCTGTTGATGACAATTCTAGTAGCTATGTTGCGAAGCTCTTACAAAACGTGAAATTTGGATTCGCTGTAGCGCGTAGTCTTTCAATACAGAGATCACTAGAAATGGAAAGATTGCTCAACAAAGCCATAATACATTTTAGCTAAACTATTTTCAGGGACAAACTTTTAAGCATTTTTGAAAGATCCTAAAGCCAAGATATTTTGCAACATAATAATTTCATGTGCGTATCCTAAGCAATGTTGTCAACGAGTTTGACCCGTGAATATTTTCAATTTTATAATTTACGAATTTCAGTATGGCCTGTAGATAGGCCATGGCTCACCTAATCTCAATCGATGTCAGCAAAGAGAAAATTCTACCGATGATAGGAAACAAGAAAAATTTGCCATTATCACTTCTCCATCAATTTTCGTTTTTGACCTACTATTTCAACCATTTTGAGGCTTTGACACCCTTACACACCAATAATTAGCACCTACTACTGTCTTTGACGAGGAAACTTTTTGCTCATTTCCGTTTCATTCGGCATTCTGATCAATCTTTGTTTGTCTTGATGTGAAAATTTATGAAAATTTGTTCAAGACTTTGCTAGCTTAATCTGTAATGTTTGCTTGAATTTTTGTGATAATAAACTGCCAATTGTGTATTTCATTATTAATAAATTGAAAGCAGCTGTCGAATTCGCTAACAAACTTATGTAAGAACATATTATCCGGCAGATTAGTTAGGCAAGAGAGTTCGTCATCTGGTTTGGACTTTGCTAAACACAAGTAAGTTGTTCGTATTCGTTATAGTCTAAACAATTATGCATGTTTTCTGTCGCGTAGCTAGCAGGGAAGAATAGAAGATGTGACACCCCCAAAATCTTCACGAGTTGGTCGATAAATTTTCAGTTGGTCTGAAAATTTCTTAGTTGGTCAGTAATAGCGTCTATTGTTAGCTGAAACCCTTAAACTTTTTTTCATCGATATCTTCGTAAGTCAACGTTACTTTTAATTACCCTACACACCCTAGCCTGGAAGTTTAAGTTAATTCGCTCTCGCCCATTTTTGAACTCAATTTTCCAAAAGATTTTAATGATAGTATAATAAATTAATAATTTGCTTTTTACTTCATTCAGTTATCAATCAAAATGCGCATTTGTCACAGCTCTTTTGCTCACATCATGCTCACATGAATAAATCCCTTCGGTCCTTGTCCAAACAAAATGTCTAAATGCCAATTTCTTGCTAGCAGCATCGAAGCAAGTTCGATAAATATGTGCTATTTGAACCAAAAGTGAGGAATTTTATTTTTCAAACATTTTCCAGCCTCCTACGCCTAAAAGTTTGTTGCGAAATCAATTTTTTCGACAATGGCAGACAGTGTTTCTTGCAGTGTACGAAAGTTTTTAAGAATTATTTTCTCCGATCCCCTACCACCCTGCTTTGGTTTTCATTAAATTGGTCCTCAATATTTAAAAAGGATTTTTTATGGTTTTTTATGCCAGATTCTAGTAGCAACTAGCAATTAAATTTTTTCTTTAAATTTACCCAAAAGCATCTTTTAGAAAAGACGTGGAATAAGAAAACATTCACTGATATATTTTCGTTTCAAAGCAGGTGTTAAGACCGAAAATATCCATTCAAAATTGTAGCTTGTGTTACACACCCTTTTGAGTAGGGTAATTTTGCTTGGAAGCAAACTTTTTCTTCCGAATTTCATTGGGAAGTTACATTGGGCTAGATTATTAAAGGCAAAGAAATATACAAGAAAATTTTGTATTTAAAATATCACTTAAATACTACATATTGCTGTCTCCCTCAGTGGCGTCGCGTGACCATTCTCGCTGGGGGGGGGGGAGGTGTAAGAGAGATGCGAAACCATATTTTACCGACAGAAATTCTTTTGTTACATTAATATTTTGTTATAAATTTAATTATACCGACGAGTTCTCTTAAAGTTGGGGGGTGTACACCCCTCCACACCCCCCCCCCGCACGCTACGCCCCTGGTCTCCCTACAAGATTTACGGGATTCTTCCAAAAGTTCTAGGATGTTGTTAAATGCGCCATTTTTGTCAGCCATTATGAATCTCATTGACCCTTTACAACGTGAGTTGGATGCTAAAGTGAGCGATGGTTTGGAGTTGAAATTTCTACTAAAAACTGGATTGTTTAACGATCTATAAAGACAGATGCCTACACTATCTTTAATTCTCTTTCATCGAAGAAGTTTTTGTTCAAATTTACGTAGTATTTGAAGAATCAGTGAAGATTAAGACGAATTTGTGCAGGAACTTGTTGGCGTCTGAAATCTTGACGAAACAGAATACCGACTCATTTGGTTGTTATTGTTTTGAAGTTGAAGAAAATCTTACAAAGATTGTGTTTTGTGGTTGAAGCACATGATTCGCCATTTGATAAGGTCGCCCTGGTCTGGTTTTCAGAGATTAGCCGGACATTTTCGAGGGCCTAGTCCGTCTGTAAGTCTACAAGGAATTGCTGAGCAAAGAAAACAAATTTTGGTTCACCGTTGGTTTTCATCAAACGTCGAAGAAATTATGGCATGCTTGCCGTTTTATGTAAAGGGAGAAGTTGTGAAAGGATTTGGTCGTGGTAGCAGAGAGCTTGGCATTCCCACAGGTATGTTTTGTTTTGAAATTTGATGCCTTTTCTTGATGCTGGTGTTCAGAACATTCAGTTCTTTGCATTCTCGTCTAACATTTCAGTTTGATTAAGGCATCAACCTTATCACCATAGAAAGTAACAAAACGTGCAATTAAACAACCATTGTTGCTAATTTTTTGATTAAGTAATCTGTAAAGAAGAAGATCCAGACATGTCTTAATGTTTTAACTTGGAAGTTTTTCAGGAGCATCCCCTACCAACAACAATAATTAGATTAGAAGCAATCTGTAACAGGTTTATAGCCTACATTACAGCATTTGTTATGTTATGTTATGTTATGTTATGTCATGGCAGAGCGCACCTAAAAACTAGATACATTAGATGTAAATCCGAAAAAGAAATTGTTGATATTGGCACATCTGGAATTTTTAGATAATATCTGCTCACCTGCATCCGTGAAAGACCTTCTCATAATTGACCATATTCTGCAATTGTGACTTAAATGAGTCTCCCTTGTGTAACCTCTGGCAAATTAACCCAAAGAAGTAAAACATTAAAAGGCATACCCCTTTTAAGCCCCCTTGAGTTGGCCCAGAATAAACAAAGCTGCCTTGGGGCTTTTTCCAGGTTCTGTGCTGTGCAGCTTCATCCAATCATAATCCCTCATTCCTAACCCTGTGGCAGACCCAACCATATCTATTGTGCTCAAGGAGGGGGGGGGGGGTGCTTTGGTCTTACTTGCTGACAAAGTTGGTGAACCATCCTCTAATTCCTAATAAATCTGAAAATTTAATGCAAATCACCCCTGAATGGTAAAATACTTCGTGTTTTTACAATGAAACTTTTTTCCAAGGGGAGGTGGAACACCCCTCACACCCCCCTCAACCCCCATAGCATGGGCTCTGCCAAAAGAAATCTTGCTTTCCGCCAATATGCAAAGTTTCCTTTCATTTTCTCTAAGAAGCAGTCAAAGGAAGCTTGTTCATCCTAGAGAACCAACAAATGTTATGTTATGCATTGCCTTTACTTTTAATTACTATTTAGGACTCATCTTAACTCAACTATTAAAAATGAAAGCATTCCAATTTAATAGTTAGAAAAAACATACAAAGTTCTTAAAGGTAATGTGTCCATATAAAAGGACTGCGTATACCCAACTTGTCAAGCCACCCATCAAATAACAGTTTGCGATTGGTTGGTATTCTTGTGATGCAAAACTGCTCACATGAAAAGCTAACTTCGCAGCAGGATAGATAAACAAAACAACCATAATGGCTGGGGCGATGACATGAAAAATCACATGTTTCTAAAAACCCCCGCAGAGTCACTTGCTTTAGCTGGACACATTACCTTTAATTTTCATGATTTTGCATTTCAATTTCAGCTAACATGCCGGAATCTGTTGTGGACAGTTTGCCAGAGCCTTTAACAACCGGAATATACTTTGGTTTTTCAAATGTTGATGGCGGCACTGTGTTCAAAACGGTTCTAAGTATTGGATGGAACCCTTTTTATCATAACACCAAGAAATCACTGGTAAGTTCTAGGGATGTACCGGATATCCGGTAGGCCGGATAATCCGGCGCCGGATCGCTGATTTTTTGAAAATCCGGTTCCGGCCGGATTTGTTTTCGAAATCCGGCCAGTTGCCGGATTTTCCAGAATTTTAATCATAACTAAGAAAATTTGGAAAATCAAGTCAGACTCTCTTCATACATGATTAAAAATGGATTTTCCAGAACTAAACAATATCGACGATAAAACAAGCGCCTTGAAAACAGATTTGAAATGAAAGTGCTCGTCATCACGAAACAGGAAGACTGGATATAATTCACAAATTTGGTCCAGGGTTGCCAGATTGGCTTTTTCGGCCAAATTTTTCATTTTTGGTTTTTAGATTTAGATTGCCTGGAAAAATTGTTTTTTTCTTACTTCTTAAATTTGACCTTTTTGGCCTTTTCAGCAGAACGTCTAAAATTAATGAGTAATTACTACATTCATGGAATAATTAGTAGTTAACTACAAAGTGGTAACCAAATTTCAAATTTCATCACCTAACCTAAATATTATCTTGATGTTAGCAAAGGGTTTTGGAAAAAAGTAAGATTCTTATATAAGTTGAAAAATTATCTAACCGTCACAAGCGTAGAAATATAACCAGTGCCTGCACGATGGATTCTTGACAAATTTTTGATTTGGCCTCTTTGTGAGCATTTTAGCTTAAATTGCTCACCAGTCTAGCCTTCGTTTGTAAATTCAATCTGGCAACCTTGAATTGGTCTCTTTGATCTTCTCGCTATACATTTTTCGCAAAGTGGTTCAAAACTTTTTATCACTGAAAAATCCATAAATGGCCAGATTATCCGGTAAAATCCGGCCGGATATTCCACGAAGAAATCCGGTAAATCCGGTTCCGGCCGGATTCTGAAAATCCTGATCCGGTACACCCCTAGTAAGTTCTTCTCAGATTCCTTCAGAGATGGTGCCAACTCCCAAAAAATGGGGAGGACTTCGGATCTAGAAAAACATGCAACAATGCCCTTTTTAAAGATAAGATTACACCATTCAATGTAAGACAATGTAAGGGACCACATCAATAAAATGACGTTCGGCCACTTGCAAGAAGTTAGATTTTCATGAAATTAGATTTACAGCTTAATGATGAAGCTAGCACATGCCGGTGCAGTTGCAAAAACATTACTAATAGGCATCACTTTGTATTCACATAAATTTTGCTAGAGAACAGTTGCTTCACATAAATAATCCGCCTAGCGGAAATCAAGGTTTAGAGTACTTTCTGAAAATTTGTCAATGCAGCTTTAGAGTCCTCATTGCTCTCGTGACGAATTCTTATAGATTTCTGTATTACAGCACATTATTTTGACACATTTTGAGTTTGAAGTGCGTTGTTTCCGCTGGTTGAATTGCAATATGGAGTTCCTGGGTACAGCAACCAAGTCATATAGATCTTGTGAAAGAAAACAAGCTGTTGTTCTCTTCGACGCTCATGCAGTGGCTGCCATTCTAGGTCTTTCATCATTTTAGAAACGCAGCTAAGTCTTTCATCATTTTAGTAACGCTGACTGTTCTTTATATTAATTGTTTCTTTTAACTATTTTTAGGAAGCCCATTTGATCCATGAATTTCCAGAAGACTTTTACGGAAGTGAGCTTAAACTCATCATGCTGGGGTATATTCGACCAGAAACAAACTTTGATTCCTTGGGTAAGATTTTGTAAATTCATCTTTATTTTGATCCACTTTCTACAGAAGAATAAATAAACCTTTTTGGATTAGTGAACATCAAACTTCCAAATGTTGTAGTTAAAAAACTCCAGGTATATCTTGAGCAAAATGTAAAGGTTTGAAGTGCCAAAGTTTTAGGGGTTAGAACTCCAAAGTGCAGAGGAGTCCCTGTGGGAAAGAAAGCCAAAACATGGGCAGAAGTGCCAGAGATGCAGAGGCGGACAATTGGGTTTCCCAAGCACCTGGGATTGCCCGGTCTTATCTGTGGGAGACTGCTTATTGTTACATCAGGTGACTGCTAGGTGAATAAATTTTTAGAGTGCTGTTTATGGAGACCACAGGCCATGTGCGGTAGACGGCTGAAAGAGCTGCTGGTCACTCACCAGTGGACCACCTGTTTACCGGAATTGTCCAACCCTGACATGCCAAAGTGAGGCAATACTTTGAAAAAAGCCTGAACTAAAAGTACCAGGCTATCATGGTTAGAGGTACCAAAAGTGAAAGTATCAAAGTGCATGGGTCACTGTTACCCTTCCCATCTTCAGTGAAATATGTTGTAGGTCTGGGTCATAGGTATTCCCAGAGTTTTCATAGATATTTGTTTTTGTTAGTATTTAAATGTCAAAAATTAGATGCTTTAAAATGAATCTTTAAGAAGTTTCTTCTTTGAATGTCTTGATTTCAAAGACACTAACTATTTTCCTCACTATTTTCCTGACAGTGCAATGCTTGTATGTTATATTCAAGCTTGCATTAAAATATAAAATATTTTTTCTTTTTTAGAATCCTTAATGAAGGCAATACACAATGACATTGATGTATCAAAGAATGAACTTGAAAAACCAGAGTTTCAAACATATCTGAAAGACTCTTTCTTCAAATCGGCAAATTCGTCACCAAATTCAAATGATTGTAATGGCAGTTAGTTTTTAGTCAAATATTAGGGTGCGTGAATTACTGTCTGACTTCTAACAGTCAAATTTTAGCTGTTGGAATAACACTTAACTATGAGCTGGAAATATATTTTTAACTATTTGATCTAGAAAGTATTTAGAACAAGAATTTCTTCCCGCATATAAATTTGATTTGAGGTAAGGCTCTGTTTTGCTGTTTAATGGGGCTGAATAATAATTTTGTAAGCAAACATAATTTGTGAGACGTCCAAGGTTTTCACTTATTTTCAATTTTCATAAGATGCAACAACGCCAGTTTCACCATGGTCGCTACAGATGTCTCTCAGTTCCAAGGACTTAAGATGAACTGTAAGATCAGTAGTGTTCATACCAAATATCTCAGTTTTTTCAGATAATTCAACTTTTTGAAATGTCTGATTGATCTGGTATATTGATGCTTTCTCTGACAAAACCTATTTTTACCTTCGCGATTTCCTTGATAAATTTTCTTGTCACATTGGATGAAAAATCATTTCCATTTGAGAATATAACTACTCTAAACACTTCACTTAGAACTATCACAAATTGGAAACAGACTTTTAAAAAGAAGGTTACGAAAACACAAACGGACATTGACTACATAAAACACAAAATGACACAAACATAAAACACAGGCTTACCCTCCTCCTACAGTTTGAAATTAAGAAACTTCCAAACTCCCTGTAAATATTTTCCCTTGGCTCAGTTCAGTTCAGTTCATATATAATTCAAATTCTCCACATACAATTTAAAATTCACAGTACATACAAATAACTAAACTACATAGATTGAATACATAATTTTACAAAACAAAATAAAAAATTAATACAATGTTACAGAAAACTAAATACAATAGACATACAAAGAGGGAATTATTTAAAGGATGTGCTCTCTCAATAGGTAAACTAATCGAGGAGAGAGCCCCCCCTGAAATTGGATAACCACATCCACTTAATTTTTCAATTTATCTTTAAATTTATGCATCAACGTTTGTGCCAAGATTGGAAGACGCATCTCCATCCTCTCCTCTGTTTTATTTTCCTTGCAATAGCGTAGCAAAGGGCAGGCAAGAGGGGGGTGGATGCCCCCCTCCCAATAGAAAAATATATCATTAAGAAAGGGCATTTTTGGCATTTTAAAGGGTTTTGACCCCCATTTTTCCTTTGCCCAATTTCTTCTTTGCCACCCCAATCTTACCTCCCTGGCTACACTACTGCTTCCTTGCCAGAACTTATTATTTTTGTATTTTCGGATTTATTGAGTTCAAACGCGTAAATTTTTAATCATGAATCATTTAGTGAAAATTTTATCATTTTAATAAAGTTTGGTGCATATTTATCACGCATATGTTTAGATATTGGATGAAAATTTTGTCTTGTAGAAACATTTCTTTCTGTTCTTCTAAACTCCTTCTGTGTGCGGTCAGTCAATATGTCTGTTTAATTTGATCAGAATAAAATCAAATTTGTCTATGTAAAACTACATATTATTCCAGATGTTTTGGACACCCCATCGTTTATTGGTTTAATAAAATGAGTGTGGTCAAGGTAGGTAGGGCCTAAATAGACCTCAGAATATGACAATTTATATAGATTTCTTATTTTCGGACCACAGAATTGGCCCGGCCCCCCGGCCACTGGCCCTGGGACAGGGTTACCACAGGCAGAGTTGTTGCTAGCTATCGTGTTTAGGGGGCATCTACATTCCATTGGAAGAAAAAGTGCCTGAGTCATCATTTATTTGCCAGCAAACCTAAAATTCAAAATTTTGTAGATTAAGCAATTGCAACTTCACCGTCTCATGTTACTAAGTATTCCTTGCACTTTCAGGGGTTTGCATCTTCCTGCAAAATAGATTAATTAAAGTTTTGCAACAACCGTGCTGTTTATGTCGTATTCCATCCAAGAATCACTTTTTTGTGATACAGCTCAGATCTCAAGGGATGTTTTCCCAAATTTTAAATTTGGGAGCTGATTCAGGGTTCACGTCCATTCACGACAATTCACATTTTGTTTGAATTTTAGCAATGTCGTGCATGTTTTTTTAGATTTAGATTCTGCTATAGCTTTTCAAAATTTTCTTGAAATTTGGAACTTCTTTCACCGAAAATTTTCACACAATAGCCTCCTGATTAACTATACACGTGGACCGAGGACTTCAATGTTCCTTTTGTCTCTTATTGAAAAGCGTGGAAAAGAGGTTGTTTCCGCCAGAATATAATGTTTCCCGCCAGTTTAGTTTCTCACTTCCCGCGAAAACTATTCTTGTACAAGTTCCTCCCGCAGCTAATTTTCAGCAAATCAATGTGCGAACCGCCATCAAAGATAGCAAGAATCATGCCTGAAATGACCGAAAATGGTGTAGCAACAAATGGATGCCATGTTGACCAGAAAATGAACGGGAATGGTCTAACCACGGAGGATATTTCTCCTAGTTCGGGAAAACAAAATAGCACTTTGAAAGATGGGGCACCAACTTCCGAGCAAGAAAGTTGCCCTTCTGATGAAATGAAGAAAACTGCGAATGGAAGTAACAACAGCAATGGCATTGAAAGTCATCTGCCTGAGCAAAATGGCCGCCACGAAGGAAATGACAGTGTGCTTATGATCAAGATGTTATCTGATGAAGCAGTTTTACCTACTAGAGGGTCTTTCAATGCTGCAGGTGAATTTAAATCTGTATTGAAGATTTATCTTTCGTTTAAACTTCGTCACCCCAAGCTGCTTTTATATTATTGCACACGTTGTTTTATATATTCTTGCCAGGAGGGCTCTAGGTGTATCGATGAATACTCTGAAATTGGCGCCAAACTCCCACCACGTGTGCGGTAATGCAATGCTAAAATATCTACAATCGAGAACCATTTTGAAAAATTCTACACTTTATTTCAACTGACTCTAGGTTTCAGAACAAAACTCGAAATTTTTGCTGCATTTATTCAAATATCTATTGAATTTCAGAAAATAAGATTGTGTAGCAGTATTCACCAATTTGCCCCCCCCCCGTCGACCCTCGTCCCCTGCGAGTCATCTGACAACATAAATTCTTTATTTGAGTAACGAAATTAAGCAAAACTTATTTTTATAGATTTTGGTAGTAATACAAGTACAGATTTTGTTGTATTTTCAGCTTTTCTAATTATAATGTCAAATTCTTTTTAATTTTCTTCAGGGTATGATCTTTACAGTGCAGTTGATTGTTTAATCCCGGCAAAAGACAAAGCTCTCGTGTCAACAAAAATTGCAATAACAGTTCCTTACGGCTCTTATGGAAGAATCGCTCCAAGGTGAGTCAACAGAACTACTGAATTTGCCCAGAGGTGTGAGAGCATGTGGTGCGATGAAGGGGAGGATTTTGCTACTATTTTGACCTTTCTTCTTTGTGCCCCCCTCCCCTTCACCTTTTGGCATCAATGACTTTTTCCTAGGGGTGACATACTTGACTGATGCTGAAAAACTAAGGAATTTGCTTGCAATGATACATAAATGTAAAAAGCAAAGGTCACAGGGGGCGCATTCCCCTCTCCATTTTTCAGAAACAGTGGTAAAATACCTACTTGGAGATTACAGATGTGCCCCTATTTTGCCTACATTTGCCCCCCAATTTTGAATTGCTTTCTAGTTCTATGCATTTCGTGTGCTCACACCTGACTCACAATGTCAATCATTATTATAACATTAGACTGTGGTCAAGTATTTACAAGCTGCATTGCTTACAGCCCAACTCACAGATTGCAGTTGAAAGCTAGGTGATCAATAATCATTGCTTGATCACCTCATCATATTTTGCTTTCTATTGGCTTTAATAAGTCTCTCAGTAATAAGTTTCAAGCTGTTCATCACTTATCACTTATCACTGCTCAATCACTTCACCATTGTATTTATTTTCAGGTCAGGGCTGGCTGTTAAGCATTTTATTGATGTCGGAGCTGGCGTTATTGATCGAGACTACACTGGGGAAGTTGGTGTTTTATTGTTCAACTTTTCCGATAAAGCATACCAAGTCAGCAAAAAGGAACGCATTGCACAACTGGTTATAGAGAAGATATTCACCCCTGAGTTGAAGGTTGTTGATGAATTACCAAAATCTGACAGGGGTGGAACCGGTTATGGTGCCTCTGGAAAGTTCTAAAAACCTTTCAGACTCGTCTTTTAGATAATCTTGTTTAAAATGAAAAAAAAAATTTATACTTTTTTTTGTATGTCAGCCAATCGTATCAATATAAGGCAATTGGTAAATTATCAATTTGACTTATGCTATCTTTAGAGTATGACATATAAAAAGCAATTTGACTTTGCAACCCCCACAGAATACATTTAAGGGTGCTCAGAAATGGTTCTACGATAAAATAATGCCCCCAGTTTTATCCCCCGCTCCTGCATTTCACATCACAGATTTGATCAGCACTGCTAGTTGAATAATCAGATTTGAAAAACCACAATTGTCTTAAACTTAAGTATTGTCAATTCAAGTAACTGCAAAAATAAGTGTTTAAGCTTTCTCAAATTTAAGGGACCGTTGAAGTGGGGAATAAAAGTTTTCAAACCTTTACATAAACAATACAAAGAGGTCTGCTATTGCCCTTTGCATGTTTAGCCCCCCAATAAACAAACTTTTACCCCCCCCCCAATCCATAAAATGCCCCATGGTCCCTGCATACTTTTGTACAGTTTTCTAGTTTTGTGGAAGTTTTGAAAGCTCTTAAAGTTTTTCGCTAGCTTTCCAACACTTTGTTAAAGTTTTGTTGTTTCCTAAGTATTTGTAAATTTTGTAAAGTTTTGTACTTTCTATTTGCCAGAAGCATTTTATCAGAACTTAAAATTGTTTATTTTTGCGCCTTGTTTGCCTTCAAGTCTTCTCATCGAGTTTTTATAGCTCATAATCATTATTTTATCATCATGCAGTCAATTATGAAATTATGGCATAGTTGAGGCTGTACTGTTAAAATATAAGTTTTTCCCTTTGCCAAAATTTACTATCGATGTTGGTAAAATCACTAAAATAGAGGAGACTTAACAATTTCTTACTAAATAAAAAAAACACAAGTTAAAAGTTTGAAAATTCAGGATAAACATTGAAAGTTTGATACGGGAAATCAAAAGTTTCTTAATTTTCCTAACCAAGTTTTAACTCCAATGTTTTTTTCAGGGTTCTAATAGAACGGTTTCTTTTATTGAATTTGGTTTCTACAATATATGTAGATGTTAGTTATAAGATTAATCTTTTATATATTAAAGGTTTTGATTAATTGATGAGAAACTTTGTTCAAAGTTGATGTTATTAGGTTCAAAACTTTTTTGTGACATTTGGCAACGCAGGAGCGTGGAAGCAGCGCTGTCCACCGTCGAGAGCATTTCAGTGTGGAGGGGCACAGCTAGAAAAAGAGGCACTTTGTCTCAGCAAAAAAAGTTTTCCAAAAGTTTTGAAGAGTTCATTTCTAATAAAAGGAATACTTTACCTAAAATTGTGAGCACTGCTAGAAAAGTGTCTAGGGCCAGGCACCGCGGAGCGTTGCGAAAAGTGGGGGGGTCTAAAAAAAGTGGGGATGGGGCTAAAACCGCATAAAAAGAGGCTTTCCTATAAAAAGGCTTTTCTAAATAGAGGCTTTTCTAAAAAGAGGCTTTTCTAAAAAGAGGGCGCACTTTGTCTGAGCAAAAAGGTGCACTTTTCTGAAGAGTTTTAAAGAGGCCAGGCCACTGCCAAGGAAATAAATACTTCCCAAGTGTTTGGTAGTGCAAGCCTTTCGTTTCCAACCTCCTTGTTCTGCCCTTTCCAATGACAGGATTATAAAAAACAGAAAATTTCTCATGTAACAAATTTTTAAATAAACTTTGTAATCATATGAAATAACTCAACACAGCGTTGAAATTTGACCAGAGGCATGGCTCGAAAAACGTTTTAAATAGGGGAGCTTTTATTATATACTGTAGGGTACTTTGGGGGCACCAATCAGCATCATCCTTAGGGTTCTTTCCGAAGCGAAAAACTGCACTATATATTTAAGAGTTTGTACCATCGTGCTCCAAATGAAAATACACTCGTAAGAATTTAATTGTGGATAGGGGGAGTCATGATTGCCCCTCTCCCACCCATGCCAAAAAACGATTTCAAACCCATTCAAATTTATGAACTTATGCAACCTTTGTGATGTGTTCACAAACCAAAATGACGTAGTTTTAGTCTGTCATCTCCGCAGAGGTGGATACGAACCGCAGCGGTGAGTTGTCTAGTCTGGCACCGTGGCTTTTTCGGCGACAGTAAAATATCCCTGTATTATCGAATCCTTTCGTTTCAAAATGGATTGCTTGAATTCATCTTGAAGATAATGTCTTTCACTGAAGGAGATTTCGACTGGCGCCTGTCTTCCTCAAACATAGCTAGTCCGTATTATATGAACCATAACCACGAATGTAAAAAACGGACCATGGAATGTCCAGCCGCTCTGATGAAGCCCCGTATTCCGGGGCGAAATATCAGCCTTCACTGATTTACGTGTATTTATTGTTGTTTATTCTCGGCGTATTGCGGTGTTTCATATTTGCTACAATGTCCAGTTTCCCCCTACCCCCACTGCACGCCCCCTTTGCTTTGAACGTGTGCTTCCGTTCGAACAATGCCCCCTAGAGCTATCAAAATTAAATGAGTGCCCCCTTCACTCAAATGTGTGCCACTACCCTAAAATGGAAAGCAGGTCCTAGTTTATGAAGAGGATTTTGAGTCAAAAATTGTTATGATAATGATAAAAGAGATCGACATGTTTTTAGATCTGGTTTAGAAGTTAAACGACACAATTTTTTAATGAAACCTAGATCGAAATGATTTTCGCTTTCCAAAGAATTTCTCACTTTCAAAAGGTCGTAGTCACATGTTTCTAGATCCATTTGCTTCGAAACAGGTTGAAAGCCGGGGGTGGGGGGGGGGGATTTAAAACCCGCAACATATGATTTTGAAAAAGCTTTGTTGCTGTCCAAAACTATGGCCCCCGACCCTCCCCCTCTTCGTCGGAGGCCCTGACTTGCTCAAGCTCTTGATTTGGACGAGTTTCCTTGCCTAGTGAGCAGCGAATAAGTATCTACTGGCAACAAGGGGAGTCTGAAGATTGACTAAAAATGAAGCGATCACCGTACTTCGTAATAATGCTGTGGTATTGGTCCTGTCAGGACCCTTTCTGCTCCAACAGACAATGACGGACTAATCCCATATAAAACACTAAATTTTAGGCAAAAGTATCTGAGCAAAATTGCAAGGAACATCAACATCAACCAATAAACTGTGTATGTGAAGAGCGGGGAAATAGAAAGCAATTCAAAGTTAAAGGTACACAGGAAATAAGGGACACTGTCTCAGAAAAGCAGGCACCGCGGGCGTTGAGAAAAGTGGGGGCCTAGATAAAGTGGGGGGGGGGGCTAAAACCGTATAAAAAGAGGCTTTTCTGGTAGTTTGATACTTAAAATTTGGCATTTTTTGCAAAAAGTGGGGGCTAAAGCCCCCCAGTCCCCCTGCTCCGCGGTGCTTGAAAAGAGACACTTTCAAAAAGCTCTTATGAGGAAAAGAGAGAGTTTACGAAAGTTCTAAAAGGGAAATTTCTATTGAAAGGGGCACTTCTCCAAAAGTTCTCAAGAATGCTCGTCTAATGTAAGGGGAATTCCCCAAATGTTGCTCAAGAAGAGAATTCTAGGAGAAGATATATTTTTGAAAATTTTAGGGTAAATGCTCTTTGCATCTAACTGCCTCAGATATCTCTGGTGAAAATTTTATCGCCTTCATACACAAACTGTCTGCAGCGGCGGAAACTTGGGGGGCGAGGGGGGCGACGGCCCCCCAATATTTTAAAGGACAATGGTCTTTTGTTCGAAAACAATGGTAAATGTGACGTCATCTTATTAAAACAATAGGCTTGCCCCCAATATTTGACCAAGTTTCTGCCCCTGACTGTCTGTTTAAATATTTACAAGATGTCGTTATGAAAGTCAAACTCTGAGCCAACATGTCAAGAGCTTCTGATCCAACATTTTTATCTCTTTATGAGAAGGAATTAAAATTTCAGAACAAGTTTATGATAATATTTCGTAATAGTTTATAATCACAACATTTCATGCTTTTTAACTGGCCTGCTGATCAGCCTCTGGGATTTTTATGTCCCAATTCAGTTTTGCATCTGTTAATTGCTACATATTTGTCAAATCAGATTGCTAAATATTTTGCAAAGTCAATTTCAGATTTCGCGAATTTGGTCGTCTAAAAAGTACGAATTAATTCAATCTAAATTTATTCTTCTGATTTTTGCCGAACCATTCTCCATTTATCCGAGAGCAGTTTAAAAAACCGAGCTTATTAAAGAAATGAAATGATTAAATAACATCAAACAGCACAACATAGCAACAACTCTCTCAACCTGATCTTCCTTTCCATTCTTTGCAATCTTACTTAAGGGTAAATCTCAATCGAGTTCTTACTTTTTTGATAGGGCATTCTAGAATTTTCTGTAAATCAGTTGACTCACACTCAGGAGACCGTGCACTCAGTCGAGAGGGGTGTGCTAAGGGGCTTTGTAAGGTACAGGGAGTGTGTTTTTGAGAGGCACCCCTGGGGTATTCTCGAGATCTTTCAGTTCAGCCTGGTCCGGGTTTTATCAGGCCTCACCGCCAGTGGAATTCTTCTCAAAACTTATTTTGGCTAGACGGCTGTTCCATCTGTGAAGTCTTGTCTGGAAGCTCCTCTCGCTGCTAAATTGTGCGGCGGATATGAAAATAATTAAATTCAGAGAGTTAAAGAAACAATAAAGACAGTCTAGACGCCAAAATCTGATACATCGTCCTCCATTTTATTGACAGATTGTGGTGCTGCTATCAAGATCCGTTTAGGCCTAAAATTTAGTTTGACATGGCCATACCCACACCGAATAGCAATGATGCTTGTCTAAGTATTGTTCACAGTTTGATTTGTCATCGACAAGGCGGAGAGTCAGAAAGTTTTGCAAAAAGAGCCATCGAGTCGCTAGTCAAGAAGTTGAAGGAGAAAAAGGTAAATATTTAGACACAAATTAGTGTTATTCAACATGACATTCTCAAAGTCATCGTTGTCCTATAAGATGAGTTAATCAACAAAGCTTTGGAATCTAACTCATCACACAAGTTTATCTGGCAAGCCATAATCGTATTATCACTTGATTTATTTGTAAATTTCATGTTTTTTACATTTGTAAGGAATTTCACAGGTAACCTAGATCGGCACATTTCCGTTCACTTAGTTGTCTTGAAATTATACCCAATATAGCTCGAAGAGGCTTTGTATTTAAGATTCCTAATGGCAGATGTGCTTCGCTCTCCTTTTGTGATGTGATTTAATTCATGATATCCTTTAATCCTGTGGAGCAATTTCAGAATTCTCGTTGTTCAAAATCATTCGATTATTTCCACTAAAGATGATCATTTGAGCTGCTTGATCTCAAATCCATTTGGGCAGTACAATATAGTTTTTACTTAGAATGCTTTTTTATCATATTTTCATTCCTTTCGTTATCTGTATTTTTTCTAACTTTATTTTAACTTAGTTTTCAATTATAAATATCACCCTGTATATTTGATTGATCAGAAATAAATATGAAATTCAGAATGATAGCAAATACATATTATATGAATATAAAAAATTAGCTTTTGGTTTTTAAACATTTTTTAGAAAGTTTTGGGCAAAAATTTATTATCTAAGGTAGAAAATGACATATAAAGTTGAATCTTTGCAGATATTTGATTTTGCTTCGAAGTATAATGATTCTTTTTTTATAAGATTAATAATTTTTTTAAAACAGATTGATTAACAAAATATGTCCAACATTAAAATAGAAAATGTAATTAAAGAAAATTGTTAAGCTCCATATTAATATATCTATAAAATGCCAAGCCCTTTTTTATGTGTTAAGTGACAAGAGCTCAAATATCTTTAAAAGAAGCACCCCCTGACCTAATATGCTTAAAACATTCTGGGAGATGCATGAATTCTCAGTATCTTTTACCCCTTGCAACATGGTAATTTTTTTGCCTTTTTACAAATTTTGGAATTTCTCATTTAAGTCTGGACTTCATGGACAAGAACCTTTGTTCCCAACATGGAAAGTAAGTTGATTCAGCCAGAAGTACTTGCAAGGAAGACATCTGTTCTTGGAAAACTTTCTCCAAGACATACTGTTTTGTTTGCTTCTATGTAAATTTAAAGCATCCATTATGCCAGCCTCTACATCTGTTCAATTTCCAACCCAATCATTAAATTATATCATTTCAACAGGTATATTGAACAATTGAATATAAAGAAGGAATTGTCCTTTGTTGAATTTTTCCTGATGAAAACTGTTAACACATTAAAAATTGATTCAATATCATACCATGCTGACTGAATTTGAAAATCTTTTTGCATTTTACGAAAGGAAAATTATTTCATTTTTTGCATTACCTTATAATCTGGGGAAATTATGAAAGACTCAAGGGAGAATCATGAATTAAAAAATTCTAATAAAAAGTTGCTTTTTTTTGAAGATTTTCTTTAGACTTGTTTCAGTCTAAACCCCATTTTTTCATGGGTAAATATGATTTTTGATAGATAGGGAACAAAATCTGTTGAGAGAGGCACTCTGGTATATAGGCGCCTATAATCTGTTCAACTTTCTGGAGGGCTTTTTTCTGAAATGTAGGGACACTAGTCATAATGTAAATTGTTGGCAAATATCTAAGTACGCCAGTTGAAAGTACTGTTAAAAGAGTGCAAAATCTTAAAAAAAGGGAACAATAAAAGATTGAAAGATTTCTAACTCTGTTAAATGACACTCTCCTACCTTTGATTTTTTATTCTGGCTTCATACTCAACAGACGTGTACATGACAAAGCTAACATTCTCATCAAAACACATTTCCACAATTGATCCCGCATCTTGCAAGATATGCAAAAAACTTGCCATACTGGGATACCCAAAGAAGAAATCCTGAAGGACTTAGAACTAGAAAAGACCTGTTGGCTCGTGGGTTTTTTCTTCTGAACTTTTAATTTCAAGAAAAAAGTTCTGTTTAAAATGAAAGAGAAACACATGTTTTAATCAACAGCTTTAAAGCACACCGTGAATACTCCCTCCCTTTATTAATCTTTTAATAAATTGATCAACAAAATTTCAGTCAATCTACTTATTTTTGATAGAGAAAGAATTGGAAGGCACTGAAAACCTTAGATCAGGCTTTTAAGACATTAGAGAAGCTATGCTTCTAGAGCAGTGTGTGGGTCCTTCCAGTTGCTTAACTTAGGAACACATGAGGCTCAGTGGCAGAGCCACGGAGGGAGGGGGAATGGGGGGGACTAGTCCTCCCCCCACTTTTTCAGAAAGTTGGTCCTTGAGATTCGTGCAAACCTGATAAGAAAACTTTGGGAGGGGGGTTTGTACGCTATTTAGATCGTGACATTTATATGACATTTCTTGGGAGACAAGAGGAGTTTCCTCCGGAAGAAAATGTTTCAAACAGAGAAAAAAGGTGTGGTTCAAAAAGGCGTTGTCCCTGACACACCTTTTGTCCCCCCACTTATCTCATGCTGGAGCCGTCACTGATGAGGCTCTTAGTAATGAAGCTGTAACGGGGCCTGTATCTATGTATTGCAAGAAAGTCCCATTGCAGCCTCGTCCATTTGTGTATAGTATGTTAAACAGAACTGCTATTAGCAAACAAAGTGAGAATATTTTCTCATTAACAAAAGTGACCTGAGTTACATGCTTCAGCCAAGAAGCAGACACCTGGCTTTATTTGAACATGCAGTGATAACAAATTTCTTCAGTTATGAATCATAATTGTGCAGTGATGAGCTCAAATTTTGCGCAGTGATAAAACTAAAAAAAGAGATTTGGAAGTGAGAAAGTTAAATTGTAGCAACTATCAGTAGACACATAAAGCTTATAAAGAGCATAACAATATTAAAAACGAGAACATAATAATAAAAATGATCATAATCTATCAAATCTCTCTAAAATTTTATCGAATTCAGTGTCTAGAAGCTATCTAATATTGTTCTTCATCTTCTCCTTTGAGCTCTTTGTTCTCCAAAACTTGTTTAAACCTAGACCACTTTTCTCCTTGAAATCTCTTGTAAAACTTGGGTGAGAGCTGGTATAAATTCTCAAGAATTTTGAAAATGTGCACTGGTACAAATTCCATAAAACTTAGCATGCACTGGTGTTTCCTTTTTTATTTTAGGACGAACTAGATGCTCTGATCACATCAATAACTACGGGTGGCTCTCACCCGACTAAATGTGTCACAATACAGAGGACCCTTGATGGAAGGCTGCAGGTCGCAGGCAGAAAAGGCTTCCCACATGTCATCTATGCCAGGTATTAATATTCAATGCTTCCTTTATTGAATTTGTTATGTTAAACAACTTGAGAATGATGCACAAATGCAGAACCTTTGTGTCATCATCCAGAATCAGTCTTTAGTCAATATGTGGTTGGAACAAGCAGGAGTATTCAACAGGGCTATTCCAGTTTCGTCTAGAATGGAGAGATAGGCTTCAAAAAGATTTCACACCCCTTTGGCCCTTCCTTAGCAATACCCTGCCCAAAACTCCTAAACATATTCTTATAAAAGTGGTAAAATCCAGAATTTATGAATTATTTACTGCAAAGTATTTATTGTGTAGTGGCCAAGAAAGTCTCCAATTTACCTGAGAATTTTTGATAACTAAACTACCAATGTTTAGATCATCAATAGTTGACACTTCTGTGATTCACTGCAACATTATTCTTCCAATTATCAAATTGACAAAGAAACCACAGAGTTTCAAGTCCTTGTATTTTGTATGCAATGGGAGTACTTCAAAAGCTTGTTTTCTGTCATTTTAAAACATTTGGCCAAAAATCTTTAGTTCCTTCACAGCTTCAGAATTTGTAGACCCTTCACATAATCGCCTCAAGACCCAAGCAAGAGTACACATTGTATACATAGGAGCCAGGGGCTACAGGGGGTAGGTTTTCCCCCATTTTTCAGAAACAGATGTAGAGTACCTATTTGCAGCTCAAGGAGGTGAATCTTTGCCTACATTTGCTCCCTGCTCACCTTTAAAATGCTTCTAAGTCTATATTATGCATGTAAACGACCCAAGGGTGGGGGACCAGAATAGGTAAGCCACCAGAGAGACTACCCCTACAATTTTTTATAATTCCTTTCAAATAGAGCCATTTCGCCTCCAACTACGGGTGTCCTCCTTTTGAAAGATTTCTCCACCCATACTTATGCTCCAAGCCTTGAAGTTCAACCGACTGCCCTTCCCACAAGCCACAGTGTCTTAGCATACCAGAGGCTTTTTTTCTTCGAAGTGATTGTTTTTACCTGATGTTTTTTAAATACACTTAACGAATATGGAGACATAACCTCAATTCCAAAGGATTACTGAAAGTCTGGACATAATTCCTCTGGCTCCGAAAAATTTGTGGCCTCTGAAGTTAGCAAATGGATTCTAATTCAATGTTCGCCTTTTAAGATTCACCTGTCATTCTCAATATTCTAGGAGTGTTGTAATCAACGCATTTTTGTGATCTAGAATCAAAATGGCGGCAATGGTCCTACCTACTATCTAAGGAGTGTTGTAATCAACGCATTTTTGTGATCTAGAATCAAAATGGCGGCAATGGTCCTACTTAAAACTGGACAGCGTTTGATGCTGAAACAGTTTTGCTACCGCATGAGACAGTGACACAACATTACTGCACAATTAATCATTTTTTATGACGAGACTCCTGAAAATAAAATCTAATATTAGTCTAAATAACGGTTCCAAGCCTAAAAACATTACGGTTCCAAGCTGGAGTAAAATTACCTAACAATGCAGTAGTTTTGAGGAAGGCCAATGCATATCTTGACCTTCTGTATAAATTGAGGGGAATTGGCTGTTGTGCTTGAACTTTCTCTTTTTCTGACAAAACGTTAAGACCAAACAATAGACGATTTTACTTAATTTCTGTTTCTAAGAAAATCTTTTCTAAAAGATACGTGGACAAGTTTAAGGAAGGCAAATAAAGTAGAACTTCATCCGGAGGAAGGTCGGCGTGTTTTCTGAACTCTGAGAATGTATTTCCAGTCGAAACTCATTAAATCTTTTCTAACCTTATTTATAAATATTGAAGATAATGGGCTTTGCATGTCTTTTTTATGTATTTCAACTGGAATCTCAGAGTTTCACACATCTGAAAATGGCCTAAAGTTGAACGGGAATTTGTACGCCGATGGGGATTAAAAAAGATGGCCTAATTTGATAATTGGAGACGAAAAGATGGCCTAATTATATTGTTTGTGTTTCTGTCAGAATTAAGACAAAATTAAAACTTAAAAGTGTGTTTTTTTAATTTCATTTGTTAAGTTTAAAGAGCGTTTTTTCTATCTTTTGGCTATGAAAACTTCAGCTGCGAATAATCTGTTGCATATTGATAAATCATAAACAAAGAATAATTTTTCAACGTTTTGTGCCATGCCATTTGCAGCATTCATAATTGATGGAAGTTGGCCTAAATGTGGCATAAATTATCTCGATCTGAAACTCATGAAGCGTCCAGCTTAATGGCAGTATGTCCCCCATTGTTCTTAGACTCTCTTTTCGTGGCCACAATATTCTTGCATCGTCGGTTTGATGCTAAAATAACCAAAATAAAGAACCACAATAGCGTACTTTCCCTGAGTGAGTTGCTGTGAATTTTGTTTTGGTATTAAACGTCTAAGTTAGTTTCGATTGTCGCGTTCACCCACAATAAATAACGTCGGATGCTAAAAATGCAGAAGAAGACACTCTTTCAAGGCGGGGCATTCAACTTAGAATCAGCCAATCACTGAAGGGACAGACTGCTTTTATTATTGTACCTCTTTGCCAACTGCAAGCCGCAGTTCCCTTCGGATTTCTTCCTTTTCCGCCCTTGATCCAAACAGCGCTTTCATGGACGCAAAAGAGAGCAAATGTTTGTCGTCGACGAGACCAATTTTGTGTGTTTTGCATGTAATTAAAGGATGTTTGTTTTGCATGTAATTATAAGAACACGAGCCCCAAAGTTGGTCAAAAGTTAAGAACAAATTAACAACAAACTGAGGCTGAGCTACTGTAAAATGTAATTTTGAGCAATGTTGTTAAACCCTCTTTTCTCAAAAAGGGAAGTGTTTTTTGCTATCTAGGGGTGCTTTTTCAGTGAATTTTCTAAATTGTTCCAGTTACTTTATTGGCAGATGAGGCCTTAAAAACCCCTAGAGCACACAAGCTAGCAAATGCATTGCTTACACCCTATTAATTTAAGAACAAATTAAAAACAATCCAGCCTCAACTTTTTGAAAGAATCAAGAACGGCCAGCCTGAACTTCAATTATTGGTTCATATAAAAGAACGAGCGTAGTGCCTTCAAACTCGGTTCTTTAAAGGTGGATAGAAAATTGGTAAATCTAAGAATTAGCTTTCTTGTGAGTAAATTTATTATTTTAAACAAATTTTTATTGATGAACTTTTCTGAACTTTTTAGAATTTGGCGATGGCCTGACTTGCACAAGAATGAACTGAAGCACGTGTCATACTGTCAATACGCTTTCGACTTGAAATGCGACAATGTTTGCATCAATCCATACCATTACGAACGGGTTGTTTCGCCAGGTAAGTCGTTTCGCCGGTTATGTAGTTTCGCCTGTTATGTCGTTTCGCCTGTTAAGTTGTTTCACCTGTTAAGTTGTTTCGCCGTTACGTCTTTTCGCCTGGTAAGTCATTTCGTGTGATAAGTCGTTTCGCCTGTTAAGTTGTTTCGCTGTTACGCCATTTAGCAACGAAAATTCGCCCTTGATATAAAAGCCTCTTGGTAGAAAAGATTCACAAATAATCAGCAAGGTAGTATCTACTGAAGACGCCTTTGAAGCATACCCTTTTTTGAAGGGATATAAGATGTGGGGGCATTTTTCCCTGTCGTCTCTTGTTTGACTTTAGCCCATGAAAAGAATGTTGAAGCTAAAATAACTCTGCTATTTTTCTGCCTGAAGACAACAAAGATTAAAACAGTTGAAAAGTTTTGTTCTAAATTTTCGGATGATTTGTTTCTGTTTTTACGGGCGTGGAGAAGTTGGGGTTTTAAGGACGCAAAGTTCGTACGAAAATCTTCAGATTCTTTCGCTTCACCCAAACTGATGTGCAAGAATTATTTGTTTTTTACTTGCTTGCTTATTTTGTAAATGTGTTTAATTTCGGTCTTCTCTATTCTAGATATATCTGGTCTTTCCATTTCTTCGCATTCAGGTATTTGTTATGATAACATACTTAACTTACATCTTAGGCATCTATGTTAAATATCTACGGAGAAACTTCCACACATTTTAAGATGAGGGCATTCGTATTGAGAACTGAGATGAGATGAGATTCATCTCATGGGTGAGGGTTCTCTTTGGGTTCAAAACTTTGCTTGCCTGTGGGACTGTCGCGTCCATCTTATGGGTGAGGGTCGTTGTGGGTACTCTGTCTGTTAGAAAAAGAGGGAGAGGAAGGACATGAGAAATTGAGGAATTGAGACGGGAGATGTTGGATAAACAAAGGAGAGATATGGGGTACAAAAAGCAATGTAACTAGGGGAAATGAAGAGTAGGCGAAATAAGAAGCAGAATGAATTAGAGAAAAGGAAAAGAGAAAAGTGCAAGGGGGGGGGGGTGAAAAAAGTGGGAGAATTGAAGTGAGGATGATGGTAGTTTTGTATTATTCACGTGACGCTTCCTAAACGCATTTGCATTCATGTGTTGTTTGTGTTATTACCTTCGATGTCATCGAACTAAAGGTGGTTTTTTTGTTTACAGATGGCAGTGGCGCCCTAAGCCCGACCAGCAGCGATGACTTCAAACCAGGACCGACATACCAAGGTTAGAGGAATTCTTTTGAAAGATTCTCCGTTAAGTTAATCAATCTAACTTTGCATTTCATTTCATTTTTAATTATTTACACAGGGTTAAGTTATCAATTGTTGTAAATACATAAATTGCTTTCCAAACTAAACAGAATACGAATATAGAAATATACAGAAAAGAATAACGAAATGAAAATAGTTTAGAATGATGAGACGATCAGCATGAATAAAAATATTTTTTTATGTTCTTGAGTTTTAGAGAAAGGATTTGAATTGTTTGAGATGTTTCGTTTACTATGGTTTAGCATGGAGGCCAATCCATAACTTCGCCCCTCTCAAACAAATTTTTTTATTGCTCGTAGAAATAGGACTCGTAAATCGTTTTCGACTCCGATGTTATTTTTAGACTCTTCGCTATTTGTTTTGACTATTTTATTGTCTATCTTTGTTTAGTTATTTAAAATGTTGTTTTTGTTTAGTTTAACAATTTGCTCTACTTCACGTTTATTGATATATTTTAGGCCAATTGTCCCTATCGTTGGGACAAGGTCCAACAATGGCTCCAGATGGATTTGCACCATACTCGCATCCGCACCCAATGACGTCACCAAATCATATGCCTCATTTAGGTGAGTTCTGTTTAGATGCGAGGCTCGGCTCGTTTGATGTCAATATATCATGTTTTGGGACATTTGTCAGGTTTTGGGACAAAGAAGGGCCACAGTCAATTTGATCGAGGATGATTACAAGTGGTATTTTGTTGACGAAAGTATCGATTCGAGTTATTGAGGCAAGATTGTTCCCAAACTAGCCGACAGGACACTGCTAGCCTAGATAGAGGTCACAGAATAGGAAATAGGCAGAAGGGTAACTCTCGTCGGTTCCTTTGTTGTTTTTGAAGCCTGAGTCAACAAAAGAATTCCTTAATTCCCCTTTAACCTCGATTTCATTGAACGAACTTAGCCATGACAAATTGTCATTAATTAATCAGATATAAACGAATTATGATACATAATTGAATTTGTTCACTATCATGGGGCATTTCGTCTCAAATAAAGTTGTCTACTTACATTCTTTTTAAAATTTCCCCGACAGATACATGCTAAGCCTCGTATAATTTAACCCATGCGCAAGTTTTTTCAGGCTTCACCTGATAGGCAGGATTTCCCCTTCTGCCTAATTCCTATTCTGTGTAGAGGTGCTGGCCTAGCGGTAGGCATTGGCCTGGGGGAAATACAGGCCTAGGAATGCGAGGCTCTTTAGGAGTTGCTTGACACTTCCCCTACACTCTATTGATTCTATCAGCCTGAAATGACGTTTGACAACTCTTTCAACAATTATACGTGTACCTTCTGATGCCATGCATTAAAGTGATTGCCCCCTGCCTCCTTGCCCCTTCTTGGCCCTTTTCTGGTCCCATCTTTGCCCTATCCTTGCTCCAACCTAGCCTCATCCTTGTCTCATCGTAACCCCTTTACGCCCCCCGTGCCCCCTGTTTCCTTGCCCTTTTTTGATGCTTTGCCCCATTTTCAACTGGCCTTTTCTCAATTGACCTCAGTGGGGCCCTTAGATAGCCCTTAGCCCCCAACCGTAACTTCTAGCCTAACTGATTATTCAAACAAAACGTTGTTTGTTTTCATTTCTGCTCTCCCTCGTTTCCAGGCCCACTTGGAGGACACCCACTTAACGATGGATACATGCCGTCACCGCCAACGGGGCCGCCGAGCGTGGGGCCAGTTCTCCATGGCCACGGTGGGCATGGGGGCCATGGGGGCCACAGCAGCCATGGACACGGAGGGGGACATCACCCCGGAACACCACTTCCTTCTGGCTCGCTTCTGAATGGACCCCCGTCTCACCCATCAGCTGGGCATGGTCATTCAGGTGGACCCCCCTTGCTCTCAAGCCCCCACGACCACCACGTTAGCCATGGGCCAAGTCACGTGCAACATGGAGGCAGCTCACTTGGAAGTAGCATGCTGGGATCGTCTGGGAGTTCAGGACATTTGAATCGTGATATGTCGTCAGCAGGTATAGTTTGTTTATCATACCAGTTTCACTGTAAATTTATATTTAGGAGACGCGGATACATTTAGGAAATATGCAAGCGTTATTTTAAGTCATTTTGCTAAATATTGTTGATGCTCTTGGACAAGCAAAATAGTCACAATTTATCAGCAAGAATTTAAACATCGAATGAAGTTCTTAATTATTTTAGATACATCAATAAAAACAGATACTTCTAAATATTTATCCTCAAAGTCGTTAAGATGACCAGTTTATCATTGTCTATGGAATCTAACTTTATTAATGTTTTACTTCTTAGTTACTATCGCCTTTAAAATTCATCAAAACATGACGTCATTCTCTTTCGATTCCAGGCTCGTCCGGCCCGCTTGGTTCCGCGTCCGGTCCGATGGATTCGCCCGCACACTTAGCATCTCCAAGCCACATGCCTCCTTCCAGTCATATAAAGTCAAGTAGTCATTCTTCGTCCAGCCTGTCCGGCTCCTCAACTCTTATAGCCACAATGGGACAGTCCGTACACTCTCAGCCGTCCGTCCTCCAATCGCCTTCGTCATCATCAGCGTCGCACACACCGATTGGTTTGCACGGTTCCTCCTCCTCAAGTGCGCTTTCCTCCGTTTCGCAGTCCATGTCTTCCCATCATTCAAGTACGCTGTGTTATTTTTGTTATAAACTATGGTATTTAGTAGCTTGTAGATCATAAACATTACCACCTTAATCAACCATCGGAATCATCAATCAACATCGTCGATCATCGATCGTAATAAATCATCATTATCAATAGTGTTCTTACGTATGACGTAATAAAATCTATTTTTATAATTTTTGGCTTTTGACAACATAACCAAAAAGAAGGCCATCGAATGCTAATGAATATGCAAAATCAATTAAATATGAGGCCATATCTCAGCCAATCCGTAACACATTTGCACTTTAGGTGGTATTACGTAATGCCCCGTCAGAGCACTCTCCTCCACAAAGGCTAATGCAGAGGGAGAAAGGAAGTGAGAAAAAGGGGGAGCTGCGGAGGAGAATATTCTTTTCTTCCTCTTTCCCTCTCGCAGCTCCTCCACGTTTCGTTTTCCTCCGCGGTTCCCTTTATCTTTTTCTCTCTCCATCTCCTTTCCCAATAGCTTGTGTGGAGGAGAGTACAATCTGGATATGGGATCCCTGTCTCACGAAAATAGATTTTTGTGACGTCATCACTTTAGAATTCTTTTGACATTAATCAGTCGCAATTCATCAGTTATTGATCATGTGTTTCTTTTATGTCAGGCAGCCAAGCTGGTTGGAGTGCCCACCCCAGCACCCCAGTGTCGTCACCCCATCAGCCCCACCATTCCTCAATGTCTTCACAGCCGCAGCCTCCACACTCTTTAGGAACCCAATCCCACGGAATGCCAAGTTCTTCTTTCTGTAAGTATCTTTTTATCATAATCTAGATCTTTTTTTGTTAAGAGCAAATTGAGCTAAAATGGAGGGATATTTCCTCCTGTCTCTTGTCTTATCTGCTAGCAAACGTTTGCAAATAGCCAAAGTGTATCAAGCTCCATAAGTATTATGTCCGTTGCTTATCAGATCTAGTTTGATAAAACTTCAAACTTTAAAGACTATCCGAAAAAACAAAATAGGTTTTTAGTTTCTTTACTGCATGGTCAAATCATGGCTTGTGGTTATCGAATCTCTCTTGCAACTGCTCTCCAGTGTGCAATATACTGGCTTATTTTCGGGATCCTAAAGATGGCTTGTTCGTAAAATTACACTTTTCCAAATACGTATTTATTAGAACCAATTTTTGTTTCCCTTTAACCAATGCCTTCAGAGTTTAGTTTGAGCCCCCCGTTTATCCGAACCAATTTTCTGTTCCCCTCTGACCCTCAACTGAATATATATTTTAATAAATCCACTGTAAAGACGGCCTGAAAAATTAAACAGAGGAATAGTTAATTTTATTTAAATTTCTCTTTCTCTTGGTCTTATAAAAGATTGGCTGTGATTTCAACAAGAGTTTTTTCGGGAATCCAATGATCTTTAAAAGCCAAACTTTCCTTTGAAATCAGAAGATGTTTTATGGTACAAGGTTAAAAGCTGGTTTTCAACAAGCAACGTTTTAGGCACACTGGGGCCTTTCGTCTTGCACCCCTCAGACATAAAATCCATGAATAATTCTCGACGATGTGTAGTTAAAAAATATACACCCAGTTGTGCATCGAAAAGTATCATGCTTTATGCTGTGAGGAATGTCAGTCAACAAGCTTTAGCATGTTCAAATATGTTTGCTCGCTTCAAGCTTTTTACAGAAGAGGGATTGTCTAGCACAATTCCTTTCGCTGACTCTTCTTGTCCTTCATGTTTTTCAACTGCCTTAGAACACTGTCAATATTTCTTCAGCAATCGTAGACCTTATAGAGTTCTCAAGAGCGACGTCACAAAATTTTAAGAATTTTCTAATTTTGACCACATAACATAAAAGAACACCATAAAATACTCCCATATATGCAAAATCAGTTAAATTTGTCAAAAATGAGCTATAGCCAATAGAAGATTTGAAGTTTCTAAGGGATTATTTTGGCTCAGTTCATAAAGTTATGAACTGAGACCAAATTACAGAGGTTTGATGGGGCAGGAGCTTGTGCTCATCTGGTCGTATCTCAGCCAATTCGTAATACCTTTAACTGATTCAAAAATTCTAGAATAAGATTTTTGTTACGTCATTACTTGACAACTCTATTGTCCCGAGCAATATGACACAAGCTGCGTGTCTGCGCGCTCTCTCGCGGGAGATTCTTCCTTACTCTCTTTGTTTCTACAGACAACCCCATGAATTCCCATCATATGGAACCGCCTCCGCAACAGACTACTGGGCCGATGGCAGGGCCTTTGTCAAGACACCAACGTATGTATAACACATTTTCCTAGATTTACATCATTAGAAACGCGTATCGCCCTGCGGGTTACTCGCGGGTTTTCTTCTACACTTTTCATAAGAATAATTTTTAAGAACACGAGCCTATTGGTCAAATTAAGAACAAATTGAGAACAAGCTTAGGCTGAGCTACTGTAAAATGCGATTTTGAACAACATTTTGTCTCAAAAACGAGAATTTTAGCCATTTGTAGGCAAATGAAGGTTGTCTCACTCACTTTGTTGGCAAATGAGACCTGAAGCCCTCCCTAGAGCGAAAAGCTAGCAATCGCACTGCTTACACCCTATTGATTTAAGAACAAATTAAGAACAATCCAGCCTCAGATTTTCGAATATATTAAGAACAGTCAGCCTGAACTGAAATTTACTGGTTCTTATAAAAAAGGCGACTGTACCTGAATAAGCACCCGGCTTCTTGATCAAGTAGTATGGTGCATCCGGATCCAGACTTTTCCGGATTTTTCAATTCATTGGTCGGTCTTTTTGTTCCAGCACCGGAATACTGGGCTTCTATCGCATACTACGAACTCGATCAACAAGTCGGTGAAGTGTTTAAAGTTCCGGCCATCTGTCCGAGTGTTATTATTGATGGATATGTCGACGCGTCCGGAAATGGCGGGAATAGATTTTGCCTCGGTCAGCTTTCAAACGTCCACCGAACAGAGGCTAGTGAAAAAGCTCTCCTTCACATCGGTAAGTTGAGCTTAGAAATTGTTTTTGTGATTATTCGTGAAGAATATTTCCAAATCATGCATGGTCGACCAAGTTCATCGTATTTTCCACGAATAGTTCTTTGTCTGCATCATATGAACTATAACCTTACTGCTTTTTAAATAAATTCATTTTAGGGATTCATTAGATATGAACATCAGAAAGCTCTTAGATTCATCGACAAGATTTTTCATTTTGAAATATTTTTAGATGTTTGGCAAAAATGATTTTTTGTCGTGGCACTGGTTGTAAATGACTTTTTCTTTTACGCCTAAATTTGAATTGAATGTGATCTGAGATAATTATTTTGCAAAATTAAGGCAGTGTTCAAATTCGTAGTGAATCTCCTCAATTAGTTTTGTAAAATATCATCAACATATTTTGAGAATTTATTGTGATTATTTTTAAGGTTAATTTTTACGTGCATGTTTATGACCCTCGGTTTTCTCGGACCCATTTTATTTCTTCCCATTCCTCTTTCCAAACCTCGATTATTGTTGATGTGACCATGTTAGTTTCATTTCCACTAAATGAGGTTCTTGGGGTTATTTTCAGGTCGAGGCATTCAGCTAGACAAACGAGGCGAAGGTGATGTCTGGGTTCGTTGCCTTAGCGACCAGAGCGTTTTCGTACAAAGCTACTTCTTAGACAGACAGGCAGGGAGATCCCCAGGTGATGCCGTTCATAAAATCTACCCGCAAGCATACATTAAGATATTTGATTTGCGCCAGTGCTATGAACAAATGAAACAGCAAGCCTCTGCTGCGCAAGCCGCTGCGGCCGCACAAGTTGCGGCTGTTGCTGGTGGGGCAGGAGCCGCGTTTACTATTGCTCATCCAGCGGCCTCAATCGGTGTAGACGATTTAAGGAGGCTCTGTATCTTAAGGTTAAGTTTTGTTAAGGGCTGGGGTCCTGACTATCCAAGACAGTCGATAAAGCAGACGCCATGTTGGATTGAGATACGGTTACATCGAGCACTTCAGCTGCTTGATGAAGTACTTCATCAGATACCGATCAACGAGCCGATGCCAAGTGATCGATAATCATTTGTGATCACTAATCATCTTTTATGTAGCGATTGATCACTTACTATACTGTGCTGTACTAACTGTTGCTGAATTATTGGCCAGACTGTCGATCACTGTTCAAATCACGCCGGTGATTAAGTGACAGCAAGGAAATTATGATATGGTGGAAGTGGCAGTGATTAAACGATTGCATTTTGTGATTCATCGATTGATGACGTCTTTCCAGTATTTCTATACATCTTCATGTGGGAATTCCTGGTACTAAAGAACAAGGGACGTTAGCCGTTTGCAATTTGGGAAAACCCTGGCGCAGATATCTTCACATCCCATTGGTTTCCCGTGACCTAAGCTGACTTTTCGCAAATACGAGTTTATTATAAAGAGAAAACTAAAACAAATAACTTTATTAGTTTTGTTATGTAGAATTGCTCTAGGATGATAGTATGATTACGAATTGCGCTTCGTAAGAGTAAAGTGGAGGGGGGCTGTGAGACAACGATTCAGAGGGATGGGGCCTAGAACCTGGGATCATTGCGGGAGTTTTTTTGATAGTCAATGACTATGATATGCAATGACATTAAGATGATTTTCTCAAACTCAATGATATTTTACGAAGGTATTTCATATACCCTGATGAATGGGAATATTTGAAAATTGTGACCCGGATAATTTTACATTAAAGTTCTTGAAAAATTGTTGAGATGCTTCAGCTTCTGACTTGTTACTAATTTGAGTAAAAACGAAACAGAATGCTGTTTTGAAAATGCAGAGTTTATTAAAATCATGGAATGCTGAAAATAATGTTAAAAATTTAAGGAAAAGAGCCATAAATGAATGGGATGGTGGTTTTGAGGACCTTTTGTGGAAATTTTTACAAAACGACACAAAAAAGCTGTTATAAAGTTGCAAAATTACAGATTTTGAAATCCTGTTTGAACTTGAAACATTGAAATTTTGTAGCCTAGGAAATTTTCAAAGGCTAAAGTCTTTTCTGGCTTGTAAAAACTACAAAAAGCTGTTGCAGCCTTTTGAGCTAAAAGCAAATTATAAAAATTTCGCAGCATCAACACTTTTGTAGTCTCTCAAAAGTACAAGAACAAATTACAAAAGAAAATTACAAAAACAATTTACAAAAACAAAATTCAAAGCAATTTGCAATTTGACATCAATGACTCGTTTCTTAGGCCCTTGTCCTTGCTAAATATTTTATTTGTTTTTTTACCCCATCGTGCTTTTGTTTTATTTGTCTTTTAGAATTTTTTGTAGAATTATATGCTTTAGAAGAAATTTTTGTTTGTAACAACTTGCAAAATATAAATTTTAGTATCGATTTTAGTATGAAGGAGCTGGTGTTAACTAATGTTTTACCTGATGAATCTCCCTTGTTGGGCGCCAAATTTCATAAAAATGAAAAAGGATTATTATTAAGAAAACAATAGCAGAATTCGGGGAAACGGAATAGATATTTCTTGCAGTTCCTCTTTAGATATGTATAATCTAGTCTCGTACCCATATTGATAAGCCGGACCCTATTTAGGTCAGGGGGTAACGAAGCCTTGCTGTTCCCTTTTCGATGCATGGTTTCCGAATTTAAAAACTGCTTCGTTATGTAAACGAAAACATTTTTAATCCAGCTGTAAAGTAAATAATATCGCTAGAGAATCACTCTGTAAACGATTTACTGGATCAAATGTCCAATGCAAGATAGGGCTTCGTTTAGCATACTGGTCATTGAGAGGGGGAGGGGGCAATAGCTCCTCCAGCCCCTGAGTGTTTCCCATTCTTATAAGAACCCTACAGCTTGTTTCCCTTAGCTAAAATCACTTTGAAAAAGTTATGCCGATGTTTTCTTCTGACGATCCACCGGTATATACAATCTATTACATTGGGGGCGTTCAGAACCTGTTTGTTTACGGAGATGTACCCCCATCACATCCTAAGTATGCTAGGGGTTGATTGTGGCGCCTCTTAGTTATGTTAAACTATTCCAAAGTGGGGTGGGGGCATTTAGAACACTTTTGTTTATGGACATACACCCTGCTATATCTTCGTCATGGTAAGGGTTTTCTTGACAAAGTACATATAATGACATTGTCTCGGGGGCAAATTTTTATAGTTAGTAGTACTGCCCCTCTCCCTGTGAGAATTTGCCCCCGCCCCTCCCCCGAAGTTTGGCTGAACATTCATCTTTGCATTATGCAACTTCTTTTGTTTATAGTAGAGAGATGTATTAGGCGAATGATGCTTGTCGTAAGATCGGCCATTGCTGTCTTTTTTATGAAGCTCTTGAAAGTAAGGAAGTCCTGGACAAAGCTACTTTTAATAAATGTATGCTCAACTATTTGTTAACAATCTTCCTTGGTGGTTTCAAATTTTAGTGTTTGTGTCTCTTTCATCTACGAGAAAATATACCATAGCCACATTGGCACAGAATAGGAATTCTGTTCTGTGACGTAGTTTTGATAGCTTCGAGGTCCCTCTTTTGCCCCACTCTTTAGTGGGACAAGCCCCCTTTCAATCTGTCCTATGAAGATTTTGTTAGAAGCAAGCGGAAGCTATCATAGGAAAGTCAAAAATGACTTTGAGAAGTTGGAAGAATACGAATTAGGGGCATCCTCCAAAGGGGAGAGCTTCCACTAGGAGATGCCTCCATTTCTGTGTTCAAACTTTGACGAAAGGAGCCAGAAACAGTTCTACAGCTATTAGGCCTAGTTTGCAGCGCCTTTTCGTGCGTGCACGTTGCTCAGTGCGTTTTCGACAACCTAAGTTTTTCTGTTGTTTTTTTCGGTCAACTGTGGTTATGCTCTCTGTTTTTGAAGGAACACGGAGCAGTTTGAACGAGCCTAGCTGCTGATGTTACAGGCTATTTTTTAGCCGCCATTGGCGGGTCGCTGCCGGTAAATCAACGGCCGCGCTCAGTCATTTCTGGGTCATCGGAATTTGCGACACGAAATCCACGCGAGCCGTTCTAAACACTATTGTTAATCGACACGTGCCGCAATTGTTAATCGAACGGACACATTCGAAGGTACGAATGACGAGCTGTTACAAATCAAACATGGCGTCATTTCAAAGCTATTTTCCAGACAATACTCCATTATCTGGTCTGTATGGGTGGTGTTTGCCTGTTTGAAATATATTCCCGTTTCGCCAAGACAACATTCGCTGTTATCCCTGCCGCTATATTGTGTTTTGGACAAACATGCATTCTCAGAAACCATCTTTGTTGCTGCAAAAATGAGTCATAACCCAGCGATCTTTCTAAAAACTCAACTATCCCCCAACATGCCTAACAAGCTACAGCCAGGTGGCTTTCCGTTCCCTGTTGTGGAACTCAGCAAACCATTGCCATTTTCTCTCTGCCTCAACTTGAAAACATCATTGGCCAGTTGATTTAGGCCGCGGATTTTCCGGATAAAAACTTTTTGTTTGAAGCGATTAGCGAGATCTGCCGCGCACATGCGGGGACGGGTCGACAATAGTCTTACAGCAAAATCGATTTCCCTCGGTACAAGAGGATACAATTAAGAGATAAACCGTTTTAGCGTCTACATTAACGGCATCAGCCACTAGGCTATATTGGGTAGGGAAAAAATTTAGCCCATGGCCTGTTTACTGTTAGAGAACGCTCTCTTACCAACAGAGAACGCCTGTTTTACTATTAGGGAACGTCTGTGACTAACTTGTTTACTTGAAGATAGTTTCAAATTTATAAAATTCCATTGCACAATTTTTACCCCTCCCTCAACATGTTCCCGTCATATTTAGATGGAATGCGGGATCGATCCAGCCGAGAGTTTTCGGGGGTCTTAACTTCTTCAGTATGACAAGGGCTTTGTAACAGTGGTTTTGAAATGGGGTTCTCGATTCAGGGTTTTTGTGACTTGGGTTTGTGAAAGGGGTTGTGTGACAAAGTCCTCTGTGACTGATATCTCGGAGGATATGGTTGTTGGTGACAAAGATTTTGTGACAACGTCTGCTGTGACATAAGTCTCAGAGAGGGTTGATGAAAACAGGTCCAGGGGTACGTCTTTGAGTACTTCAGGTATGCATCCAGGAAAGCGTTGACTTCTATAGTTGTGCATTTCGGAGTATTTATTCGTATTTCGTCATAACCAAAGTCTGAATGTATATAAATTATTTTATTTTATTTTATTCAGCTAATTTCATGTCAATGATCCTTTGCCGTTTCTAAAATCGTGCCCTCTTTGCCTATAGGTTCAGTTAGCGATTTCTACTCTTGGTGAAACTTCTAGAAGAACCTTGCTTAAACCCAAGCCTCGGCGAGCCGGATTGACTCTAAATTGAAAATCTGCAAATTATATAAGAATATTCTAGATATTATGAAATTAAAAATAACAGGACACCTTTCTGCAAAGGATCTGTCTAGTTTCCATACGGCTCGACCTGATGACGTAATTAGTTTACCCTAAACCTAACCCTAAACCTAACCCTAAACCTAACCCTTACCCTAACCCTTACCCTAACCCTAACCCTAACCCTAACCCTAACCCTAACCCTAACCCTAACCCTTAACTTGAAATAATTAGTCATGCTAATTTATGACTATTTCTTCTGCAAACTCTTCGAGATCATCAAGCCTCTTATATTGTGTGCAGCCTCGTATCCAACTCGCGCCTTCCTAATAGTATAGCCTAATGGCTTTTGCTTTCCTTTCACGGCCTCTCGTCAGTTCATTTTATTAATCACTTCATTTTACCCTTCATTAAGTTATTTATCTTTTCATCAGATTTTATCAGGTCCATTTATCGTCTTTCTTTGAAACGTTAACTCGCAAAACCGCAATGCATTAACTGTTGCTATAGCAATGTACATTGGATTTCGTCTTGGTAAATCCAGTTTCAAAAATAGAAATTATTGCACCAATCAGGTATGGACTGTGAGACTTGTCCAAAAAAATGGGGCCATACGGGGGATTAAGAGGTCGCTTTTGTCTCTGTGGAATCCAGTGTTCTTATATTCCATTCTGGAATCTAGAATTTTCTGATGAGAGCTTTACTTTGAATATCACTTCAGGAGCATGCCTAAATTTCCTCCCATGGCAAGGATTAGGGACCCGAACAAAAAAACTTACCGTTTGTTATCTATCAAACACTCGAGCGTTTTTTAAAAGTTTTGGCTTCTAAGAGGCGACTATTGGAAAAAAGAGTTTATTTAACAAATTTTTAAAGGAGCGTTTTTTTGAGAGAAACGTTTGTTAGAAGAGGGTCATTTGTAGATCAAAAACGGTATTTGGTTTTGCTTCAAATTCTTGGGACAGAGATCGGTTTGTGAAAAAAATAAATATAAAGGGACTTGTTGAGGTATGCCCCTTTATGAGTATTGGAAAGCTGCTAATTCCTGATATTTTACTTGTCGTCGTATATTTATTTTTGGGACTATCCCTGGCTCTTTTCACAGCGCTTCAACCACAGTACTCTGGTTCTGATCTGGTTTGAGATTATTTCGCGGACCTCTTAGAAAAGCTTTCTGAAGTAACTAACAGAACTTCTATTAAAAACAACAACGGAACAGAAATATTTTTCGAGTCGTGGTTGTAAACTCTGGAATTAAGAAACTCAACCGTCAGACTCTCTCCGCATTCTAGAAAAATGCCTTTGATTTCGTGGTTGTTTCTTTTATCTTTATTCTTTTGAATAATCTTGTGTGTATACGATACAATTATTTCTTCCTTGAACAGTTTAGCTTGTAAAATATCTTTAAATTCACTGATACATTGTACCACTTCTTAAATTTTATAAAAAAGGGGGAGAATTTGATGTCATCTCTGACGGCCGATGGCCGGCGGTCGCTTTATAGACGCGGCTAGTTTCCAAGAGCGCGCGACCGCACGGGATTTATGGCGCGTGTCCTACACATGGAAAGAACGCGAAATTTTAAAGACAGATAAAGCGATTTTGGTTTGAAGGTCGTTAGAAATCTCCAAAGAATAATTGAAGTGGCACGAGTCAGGCTTGAATGCAAACGAAATTTGATATTTGGAATCTAGGATCGCGGACATTTGTGTGATTGCAGGCAGAAGTTCAAGCTGTTGTTTTTCTCAGTCGCAAGGCCAGCTACACCGGTGAGCTTCGACGATAATTTAATTATGAATTTGTTTAGTCTTTACTGGTTTCGTTACTTTTGTAGCAATCAACGTTTCAACTTGTCGAGGAGATCTAGTGTGCCTTAAAACAAGCTTTTAGGCCGGGGCTACGTTACGAAATTTTTAATAGAAAAGGCGGGAAATCTGTTATGTTTATTAAATTTTTCTTCGACGCCAAATACACTTGAACTTTCAAGATAATTAGCTCCGATATTTTTGTTTCGTTCTTTAGTTTTTAAGTTCTATAAACATCAAACAAGTTATCGTTTCTTAGATTTGAATTCAGACCATGATGGAAATCAAACCAAAATATTTCATGCTGGTTTTAATTATTATCAGCGGGCCCAGGAGGTTTTCAATTAATTTCAATAAGTTTTTGTTTGAATTAAATCGAGAAAAACTAGTTTCTGTATTGTAATTAATTCGTATTAAATTAATTGAAATCGTCGGTAATTACAGCGTGTTTCAAAATTCTTTGTATATAACCATTATTTAACGATCTGCCCATTTAGAGCAGGCGGAATAATTTTGTGATTTGGGGTTTAATATTTCTGAAAAGTATCTTCAAGCGTTTAAAGCAATATACACAGGGATGTTTGTCAATATTTCCAAATCAATAATCTTTAGGCAACAACGTTTATTTGTCACAAGTTGGAGTTGATTACAATCAAGTAAATAACGAGCCAATTTTAGACTCATTTTATTGATTAATATTTCACTGTTATTTCACAACCAATCTTATATCGATAAAATTTTATAATATCCTACTATATATTGATACGAGGTATATTTTATTTTTGTCTTTCAACTCAAACATTGTCGAGTGGGAGTGCAATCATCGATTTGTCATCAAATATTTGCCCCTCTATTCTTTGTCCCTATTCTAACATTTCACTGTCAATAACATTATCTTGTTGTGGAAATTCAACTTTCTTTGACTTCTGATCAAAATCTATTTACTCCACTACCCCGATCCCCATTTCTACAATTAATAACATCACTCTTTTATGGATTTCCAACTCATTGATATCCGATCCAAATTTTTTTTCGCGCCAAAACTCAACTTGGGCCAACACAAGCTGTGATGAACAGATAACTTGATACGGAGGCAAACACACCATTCATAAACAGAAAGAAACAAAATCCATCTTCCTTCAGGGCTTGTAGCCGTTAGAAATTTTTAGGCGCCTAAAGGAGATAGTATTTCGCAAATGGCTAGATTTTCTGAATTGAGAGCACATGTTTTTGAAACCGCATAAATCATTGCGACTTTTCATATCACAATCGGCAAATGTTTGTTCATTGAGAGAACCAGGTGGCTGTTTTGGACGTGTCTGGTTTGGAAAATGGCCGCTTAGAAATTGTCTGGCTCCTACGATAAATACTGGCGCTGCTTAAAAGCAGGGAAATCACAGCTCCGTCGGAAAGAAATTTGTATTATGGGGTTGGGGAAGGGGGCTGGCTGAGGGAAACCCAACGCCTCTACTGTTTCCGATTCACTGCTTTGTTGTAAAGGGATAACATAGTTTGACAACTATTGAAAGGATATAGGCCCTCTGCTCCCCCATTCATGACGATCCTGCATTAGCGATGTTTTAATGTAGATAGCAGGGTCTTAGAAATTTGAGAAAATGTCCCAGCTTTTGTAAAATGCTCCTTTTCCTAGAAGTTAAGTGTCCCTGAGACACCGTGCCCCTTACTACCTGTGATCCTCCAAAATGTTCCCACAATCGTGGTCAGGGGGGCTCTTAGCCTCTTTTTAGTGCTTCAAAGTGATAATTTTTTGTCTAAGCTTTTACTTTGGGATATTTTTACAAGAGCACAGTAGCCGCCCCCCCCCTCCATAAAAAGCGTCATTCTGTGTGTGCGTAAGCTACCTTTTCGCCCCATCTCCCAATTCTTGATATGCTCTCCAATCCCTTCTGATCGCATAGCTCTTCCGAGACCAACATCAACCAAACCCTCATAGCCAAAACATAGTAAAAATCTGGAATCCTAATCGCTTTTTCATGCCAATTTCTTTCGTCTGCGACGATAATTAAAAAATACATTAAATGTCCAAGCAAATCGCTTTTTGGGCCGCAGAAGTAGGTTAACCGAGTTGAGTTAAAAATTTCATTATCTTTCCTAGGCTTATCCTGGTCAAATCGAAACCAAAATTCCTGCAATGAATGAATTGAGGGTAGCTTTCATTGATACTCGGAATTTTTCAATTAACGTTAGGACATTATGTTTTCTCGGAAACTTCAGACACTTTAGATTTGAGTCTGGGAATTGGGTTATATAACAAAATTTGGTATGTTAGAGGAAACCCTTTCTCGCCACTCAGATTCCCATAAAGAAATCTAGGAAAGAGAATAAGTCGTACTTGAACAGATATACAGATAGTCGTATTTTAACTTTCCTTGTGCATTCTGCCGACTGAAAAAGTGACGTAGTTGGCCCCAGACCCCTAGAGCAATGTTTCATTTGATTCAAGGTTTAATTTTTGGCTTTGAGCAAGGTTAAATGAATTCTCAAAAGGGTTCGCAAATTTAAGACAGGCTCCTTTTTTGTGCTTTTATCCCGAACTGAAAGCAAGAAGGTTTTCCCACACTTTATTGCGGGTTTTCTTACTTTTATTCGACAACATATATTGCCATAAATCTTAATTAAGTATATTTGACCTTCTTTCGACCCTTAATAATATTTTGTGGCCAATTAAAGATATTTGATTTTGCAATGAAGAACACAAGCCTGCCAGAAATACAATAAATTCTCCGAAACTAATTCGTTTTCGTTCATGGGAAAAATTTAGGATAGATATTGTCTCTGTACATGGAAAATGGGTTGCTGTATTTTGAAAGTTATGCACAAAGAGAGTTGACGGAGAAATGTTTTGTATAATTTTTTTATCTAAATAAATGTTTTCTATTCTCAAATTATTCTTTTTGCAGGTTCATTTTACGAAGGGGAAGTATATTTTCGGTGAACTAAATATTAGAAAGAAAGAAGTTCTTCTTTGATTTGCGTAGCCAAACAACTTCAAACGCGATTTATTGTGAAGATGAAGTGACTTTCAACACACAGGAGTGTTTTCTTACATCGACAAAGAAATCATTGCTAGTCTTTTAATCAAAAAGGTGCAAATCATTGCATTTCTGAACAACTTAAAGCAGAGATTAAAGAAACAAAGAAGATTGCAGAAAGGGAGCAGGTTATTTCACAAGGCGAAACAATGAATTCGAAATACGAAGGGATGTATCGTTCAAAACAAAAGAAAAACAAAGAAGATTCGAACGCTAAAACAAAACATTCGAAGAACACCTGTTATGTTGAGTCAAGCTTCGATGAACGAGCGAAGAAACTCCGGTGTTCATCCACAGCTTTCTTGATATTTTCGGTCATAACTCTCTTTATCGACGGCTTATTAATTGCTGTTGGACATTATAGCATACAGCGGACGACAAGCTCGGTAAAACATGTCCAGCATCACATTCCAAGCTATCTTTCTGCTTCAATGGTGAGTTTAACTTTCTCTTCTTCATTCGGCCTAACCATGTTCAGATGCGATTTGCAACACGCCCTTCAATTAATGATATCAGTTCATCTCGTTCTTCTTTTATTTAACATTCAGAGTTGAAATATCCATAAAATATATGCCAGATTTCAAATCTACTTTAATTTGCCTCCTTGATCCATAATTTCAGCAACTTCAATCAAAATTGCTTTGATTTTCGATCGATGCCTTGATCTCAAATTTTTCAATTTTAGCAGTTTTGTGTTTTCTTAATCACGACAAAATCGTTCACTCTTAATATAAAATATTTTTAGGGTTAAAAGCAGATTCTTCAAATCGAATTTTGGTCTAGATTGATCCATTTTTCCAATTTCAATAAGACTTTAAAATATGTAAATATGTTAAAAAGATTTTGCAGTTTTTAAATATCATCACAATGCCATCCAAGAGTTCCATTCAAAGTATTTTTGCATCCATGCGAGCGATAGATAAAAATGTCTTCGGCTTAATGTCACCTTGCGCTTCTTTCGCGGTCATACAAATCTGGGTCACGCTTTCCTAATCATGCAGAAGTACCTGTTGGGAGTGGGGCGACCCTTGAATACTTCTACCGGGGGTAATAGGGGGCAGGGTGCGAGCAGCGTCTATCTAATCATGCAGAAGTACCTGTTGGCAGTGGGGCGACCCTTGAATACCCCTACCGGGGGTAATAGGGGGCAGGGTGCGAGCAGCGTTTTTCTAATCATGCAGAAGTACCTGTTGGGAGTGGGGCAATCCTTGAATACCTCTACCGGGGGTAATAGGGGGCAGGGTGCGAGCAGCGTCTATCTAATCATGCAGAAGTACCTGTTGGGAGTGGGGCAATCCTTGAATACCTCTACCGGGGGTAATAGGGGGCGGGGTGCGAGCAGCGTCTATCTAATCATGCAGAAGTACCTGTTAGCAGTGGGGCAACTCTTAAGTACCCCTACATGGGGTAGGGGCAGGGTGTGAGCAGCGTCTATCGAAAGCAACAAAACCACCTCTTCTTGTAGTTTTAATATTTCAAGCCAGATTCGCTCTTTAATGGAAATAAGCCCTTAAAATATCAAACAGGTGTTTTGACAGCGGGGCTATTGCTTTGGTGGGGCAGGGGGCAGCGATTCTAAATTCCAACTTGCCCAACAACTCTCAAGAGCCCTTTGCTGCCCCCGTGTATTTTGGAGTCTCCAGATATCATTCATCAAGCTGACGAAAATGTCCCAGAATAACTCCGGTAAGGCGATAACATGTTTAAGAATTTTTTGGTTCAAAATTAGACCCGAAAGTTTGACTATCGTCCAGCTAAAGAAACCTAGACCTTTCTAAATCTATTTTTCAATATCTATTTCAAGTTACCGATTATTGCCACCTCATTAGGCTGTCAAAGCAATTGTATACTATATCTATCAAGATATGTATATATAAATATAAATGGATATATCTTTGCCAACAGGGCGTTTCCAATACTAAAAAGAGTACTATCACCATATTTATTCTTGGTACCGTTTTAAAGCCAAGATACCTGACCCCAGCTAAATACCCTTAGAAAAGGAGCGTTGTCTCTAAATAATTTGGTCCCTTCAAAGTCAATTAAGAAAGCTATATTCAATAAGGTTGGAGGGGGAGGGGTGCAATTTATTCAGCTTAGAATGACACGCGCTTAATTAATGGTTCCAAAGGTTCTGTAGCATCGAAAATAAGTCAACAAAAAATTGGTTGCATTTGTTTTACCTCAGAGTTATGAATTTGCAAATTCGATATTGGATGCTTGTAGACCGCTCATTATTCTTCTCCAACACCCTACTCCCTTTATATCAGCCAATTGAAACGACTGAACCGCCATTTTGGGAGACTATATTGGTACCAAGGAAACGATTCCCTTTATTATTAGTTAGGTTATACAAGGTCCTAATTTTAGACAGCTCATCTCCTGTAACCATGATAAGATCTTCCTGTAATTTTGAAAAATGCACTAAAAATGGCAGAAAAAACACGCTACTTAATATGTAGGGTAGCTCGTGTCATTTCTTTTTAGCTTAAAAATTCAGATTTTTTGAGACAAACCTATTACTGTCAAGGTAAAACCTCTTATTCGAAGTGTCCTTATTCTAAGGTGAGAGTACTCAGGTATGTGTCCCAATATTTGCAATTCCTGGCGACATTATCTGGATTTAAGGCCTATTTGTACCAATTCTCCTTACCCGAGTTGGCAAGCCTTCCGAATTTGCTTTAACTGAAACCAAAATCACTTCAGACTAGAATATTATCAATCAGTTAATGGGAGCAAGTGATTCTGTAAATGGGTGTTATGGGGCACACTACTATCATAAAATGGGCGTGGTACTCTTCAGTCGTTTTGCCCCTCCCATTTTGAACTGTTTCGTACATCCCGTACAACCTACCTTTTGATCAAGCTCTTATCTTGCTGTACCCTTTATCAGGGCCCGCGCCACCGGGGGCCCGGGGTGACCATGCCCCCTCCACTTTTTTGCGAAGCAAGTAGTTTAAAAGCTGCAGTAAAAGAGGTAGGAAGCCTTGTCTTCCCCCCTCCACTTTCAAATTCGTGGCGCGGGCCCTGTTTATCCGTAACGATCTCTTTACGATCATGGGCTACCGGGCAGAAATCCACCCTAAACCGAAGCGCAGACCGTCATCATGTGGTTTCACGCAAAATCGACTGCTCAAAATACGTTTCAAATGGATTAAAGATTTCGTCTGTTAGCCACCTGGCCCTATCATTTTGGGTTTTGTAATCCAACCAAGAATGAAATCAACTGTAATTGTTCCAACTGTGTTTATAATGAGAATTTTTTCGCGTTGATTTATCGTCATGAATTTTTGTTAGAGCTTTGATTGTGTGCCTGTTTAGCGCCTCAAACTGTAGAACAACTTTCGTAAGACACACGTTTTTTAGAACAACTCTCCTTGTAAGAAACATCAGGCTGAGATTTGCCAGAAAAGGAAGAAAAACATAAGAAACAAGGCAGGCTGAAATTAAACAAAACTCAAGAAATAAAATACCAGCGTAAATTGAAAAATGAAAGAATAGCAACAGAAGAACAGATAGCGATGAACAAAATAGTATTAACTACTTTATCAAGCAGATGTTATGTCCGGACATTACTATGCACAGGGAATTCCGTTACAAAAATAAGAAACAAAATAAGAAATATGTGAGGCTGAAATTGTGCGAAGAAAATGAGACGCCAGGCTTAAAATTGAGTCAAGAGTTTTTATAAAAATACGTTGATGCGGTCACAGCTACCCTTTCAACACTGATTCATCCACTTTTCAGATTCACACCCCCACTTCAAATGAGAAAGAAAGAAAGGGGTGAAAAATTGTGTCACATTTGCAATTTTCCAGAAAATAATTATCAACTGTTTTTCTCGACAGCCGTGCAGGATTCTTGTAATTCAAGCTGTCCTTCTAAATTCCTATTCCTGCCAGATACATAGAAGTGTCCGATACATAAAGGTGTCCGTTGTTCACAGACAACTTACACAAGGCCTTCTCAGCAGGAAAAAATTGACAAAATTACCCTTCTTTTGCTTTTCCGGTTCATTATAGAGAGTTCCCTGTTAATGGCTATTTTACTTCATTTTCCATAGTTAAATTTATTTTCATTTCCTTCTTTCTTATACATTGTAATATTCTTTTTTAATTTTTTGCAGATGGTTTTGACTGGTATCCTTGGCCTGATTGCGTCTAAACGCAAAGTGAAATATTTGGTAATAACACTTTGAAATTTTCATTAAATTGTGCAATCGTATAACAACTTAATTGCATGTCAAACTTGCACTAACAACTTGCAAACATTCTGATCGTAAACTCCCATTGGTTGTGTTTCCATTCTCCTGAATACTGTGCAATGTAACTTTTCTTGGATGAATCCCTTTTGTTCCCTGATTTAGAGCACAATACTCTAGGGACAATTCGATCTATCAAAATCTCGTACACCTTTTGTTGAAATCCTATCGTTTTATCCGAAAATCCCTTGAGATCATTTTGTTTTCGTAAAAATCAAGTACGCTGTTTGGCAGACTTTCATGCCCACCCCCCCCCCCCCACAAAGCTCAATCAACTTCTATCCCAAGGGAGGGGAGTGGAAAGCATGAATGGGGGCATAGATTATGGCACAGTTCCCTCTTTGGCATTGAAGGTGCTGGGGGCGCTAGGCATAAATGCTGACTCTATTATGGAATATAACAAATAATATAAGGAATATGATATAATTCAATGAGTAAGAAGTGAAAATTTTTCGAGAAAGCGAATCTTGGTAGTTGATGGGATTTCGAGATGGTAGTTGTTCGACATAGCGGATGATCGAGATAGCAGGTATTTCACAGATAGTTGATGTCAACTTTATATATAGATATGTTAGCCAGTTGATTGTTTATCTACAACTCTTTAAATGTTCTTAAATGATTGCTTCCGTAAAACTAATAACTATCTTCTTTTTCCAAAGGTAATATGCGTCGTTTTCCTCTCTGTCATCTGTACAATGTTCTGTTTCGTCAGTTTTGTTTACCTGATTGCAGACGTCGACTCGAATTTGAGTAGACTTGAAGACTGTACCTTTTCAGCTCATGAAAAGATCTGCAAATGCTTCTTGCCAGAGGAGGAAGGTCGTCGGTTGCTGCGCTTTTCTGCCGTTCAAAGCTGTGTATCTGTGAAGGAGAATCTACGTAACCTCGTATATGGAGTCTCGGTTCTGTTTGGAGTCGGCTTCGTGATATCCATGGTAACGGCTGTAGCCTCGTCTTGGATGCTGTATGCAGAGCAAAGGAAGAGCATGCTGGTAAGAGTTTTTACTTGCTATTTCCTTGATTGTATCACCTCCGTCTTATAGAAGTGGTATCAGTTCATTCGAATTGCTCTCTGACTGTGAGGACGGGGGTTAAACAAGTCACACGAAGATAGGCATCGATCCCTCCAATTTTCTCAAGACTTCTTAGCTGAATATATTGTACCATAATAATTATCGCAGTGAGGTATTGGTGTACCTGCGAAGCATCCCTAGACCACATGTAACAAATGCAAAGCCCATCATAAGTAGCATTGCATTTCCCTCCACTTCTTTTGCACTTAAATGAAACATATCTTAATCGATGTTTTATATCCAGGTTCACTTTAAATTCGCTTCATTCTCTACGGCTTGCTTTTGCTTCGAACCCATGTCCCTCTGGTGCCTTGACCAATAGTCTATGCTTGACCTTAGACATTGCAACATCTCTCGAGATAGAGAGAGAGAAAGTTGACTTCTTCAACGCAGTTTTTGGTACAATGTGACCAGAATTCATCCTATAAGCTTCCAAGAAAGTAATGATTGTTTATCAATAGGAATAATGTTTTTGAGACCCATCTAATTCTTGAGTATCTTGTCATCCCCTAGCAGCGTTCCCAAGCGTCAAACATCGAAGCCCCCATACAAATGAACTCTATCACGACGCAAACGCAAGAGAGCTGCCTGCAAGCCAGAGCGAGGCCAACCTCGACTGCAGATCCAGAAACACAAGGAGCATGCGCACGGAATCTTTCTGTTGGAACCCAGACTCCTATTTACATGATGCCTGTTGCACAGCTCGTATATGACATTAACACGGACCCACAAAGGGAGTATAGAATATTAAATGTTGCGTCTACGGACAGAGATGAGCCTCCGCCTCCATACTATGATGCCATAATTGCACCATAGAGAATGATACTCAATACGGGGGTCATGGACAATAAGGATCACCACGTGCTCATCTCGAATGGTATTTAGTTAGCTCACAATCATGTCCTGAATCAACACAACAGAGAATCAGTGTTGCGGGGACATTTGATTGTGTTTCTGTGGAGGCGAATGAATTTATGACTACCGCGGCGAAGGAGATGCTTCAATGTTGCTGTTGCTGTTCCTTACGCCTTCGCAGCTGTCAATCATTATCACCTTTTTGTTTGTAATTGATTGTATTGTTAAACTCGTCTACTGCAACCACATATATAAATATATACAATATATCTTCCATATGCTGCATCGCAGAGGATTGCGAGGTGCTTTTCTGTAGGAATCGTTGTTTAAAGTAGGCCATAAACATGCAATGTTGCTGCGGGGCAGGAGTTGACTGATGACAAATGCAGTTTTTTGGACAGTATTAGTTTGTTTATTGTCTGGTAATAAATACATTTATCAATATTGTTACGTCATAATACGCTAATGTAAAAGGCATGGCACAGCTGTTAGAACCTAGTTGGGGACAAACTGTTTTCTCTACCTAACAGGCCACCCCCGTCCCTGATTTCACACAGTATACACCTTGAAGTCAAGTGCAACCTGCATCTACTCTAAGGACGGGGGTATTGTTCATAATGTCCTTCCTGGCAAACATAAAGCCATCAAATTACATGCACTTTCCTTTTATGGCTACGAAGGGTTCCCGGATATATGTAGATGATAGTTTTTAATTTGCATTATGAGTCCTAGATTCAGCTCAACAGCTGATTGGTATTTTATTGATTGACAGCCTGCTTTCAACCAATCAGTGTTGCTGATTTCTGGTTTCCAGGCCTCCAAACTCGTAATCTGAAGCCCTTAGACCTTTGAGAGAAAATCAACTATTTGTTGATGATATTTCGTGTCTATTAGGCCTAATAGTTTTCCCCAACTTTACTCCGCAAGCCTAAAATATCCTCACACATTGCTATTCGTCGATAAATATATAAAAGGTAACAAGAGTAAGCAAGTTTCAGGTAGCTAACTCTGAACGTTTATTCGCAATCGAGTTTTCAATTATCTCAATTTTAGAATATTTCTTTAGCTTCTAGGTGTTATAGCGCACAAGAGATTCGGAAGTTCCCATTGTCGAGGGGCATAAATGTTGAGTTATTGGTTTATATGAAAAAGTAACCAGGTTTTAAACCCCCTCCCTTTACCTTCTCTCTACCTCTCTATCTCGCTCTCCAAAGTAAGGAGTCAAAAGAAACGATTTTCTATTTTTCCTTAGAATGTATTTTTCCCATGTATGAGAAGATGAAATACAATCTGAAGAGAAAATGAGAGAAACTATTCCAAATACTTCCCTCAAAAAATTTAGACTCCATTTAAGTTTAACGGATATGAGAAATACGTTTGCCCCATGTCATCACGATGGTAAGCCACTTTATTGCCCTTATTCCCCTATTAACCCATTATTCAGTATTCTCCTGGTGCCCCCAATATTCTACCCTTTTTGCATCAGCAATACCCCCATTTGCCCCCAAGGCTTCCGATTCTCTGTTCTTGCACTCTCAAACATTTATTCTGTACAATATGAATAGCTTCTTTTGTGTCAGTAATGATAAATATTAAATTGAAATACGATTAGGCAGGCCTAGAGTTTATCAAAATCATTTTCTTACTATGAAACTCTATCGCTGTCTTTTTTGTTTACCTCTGAAATTTTTATGGACAATGGTAAAAAATTAAATTGCTTAAGTCTAACAGGGTTTGAAGATAATACGCTTCCAGGAATAGGGGGCGTGGGGGGCAATGGCTCCTCTTGCCCTTTGATAAGAAAAGCATGGGGCTCGAAGTCCCCTTTCTATCAAAGTGGCTATTGTAATTATCAAAATGACTCATATGAAATCCTGACAGTAGTGCCTTATTCACATGAAATATCTCAAAACTTTTAAACAAAGTCCTATCAAAGCAGTTAGCCCATTTTCATTTTGTCCACATAAAATAGAAATAAAAATGACCGTTTCAAAAGAGGAAGCTTAATCAAATGCCCTTTTACAGGAGCCTACCCTGTCGCTTTGCCCCTTGATTGTTCTGGAGCCCCTGTACACTTCAAATATTGATCGTACGTTTTAACACAAAGAAGCAAATTGCAAATTATTAATCAAAAGGCAAAAATATGTCCCCAATTGATTTTAACTTTTTCCAAAGCTGTTAACGATTTTCAATCCAAGTTTTCACTGATACTTCTTGATCAATGGCTATTTCGTAAATTGATAACAAAATGAAAGTTAAGTTATCTATTCATGCAGTATATATCAAAGTGTAGTCTTGTGTTTTTTATAATTGCGTACTGTGATAAAAAACAAATTTAATCAATTCTTTAAATGCAATTTTACAAATCATTAATGGATCAAACATTTAAAAAAGGATCGTAGAAAGAAAATAATTCTTGAAAAAACACCATTACTTGGGGCAATGTTAGCAAGAGGTATAATTCATATTTAACAAAGGATTCTCTTAAATTTTGTAAAGGGGTGGGGGAGGGGCAAGCTCCCAAAGAACAATATGATTTTCGAATAATTTGGACCAGGGACAGGAATTTAGAAGCGTGCATTTCGTTTGTACTTATCTTCCTGTCACTATTTCAAAAAGAACATTTCATACAGAAAAATGCGATATTAAAATTTTTCAGAGTCATTTGTTTTCAAAAGTAACCTGATTTGAAACTTTATCACTAGCAACAAGCAATTTAAATTGCTTTTTAAAAGCATCTGTCTTTGTGCTTAATTTATTCAAAATGAAGGCAAACATCAGCTGATATAGGAAGGTTTTGAGGATTCGGATCTTTAGATTAAAGTTTTTGTTAATCATTAAACTTTTAATATCTATTTTAACTTGTCCAATGTTGTACTTATTCGATACAATTTTCTACATTTAAAAGTTCATATGTTTTATGGAAACAACAAATATGTGGAGGAGGCTCGCAGCACAGTAGCCTCGAGTCAGATGACATTTATTGCACGTTGCCTAACATGAAATGGCTGATGGAAGTTAGGGCGCTTTGACCTGACTGTTCAATTACTGGACTAATTAAATTGGAATAAAGCCATGAATAACCAGCAAAAACTGTTAATATTAGCAGCTATTGCAGGTGTCAGTGCTGTTGGCCTACTGATTTTGCTGAACAGAAGGCGGAATGCGGAAGACTTTGATGATGATGGCGGTCAAGAACTTAGAGAGTTCCCCGACCTTACTGCTGGTGAAAACACAGCGAGCGCTTCAGATACGGTTTTACAGTTAAATGTCCCCCATTATTGTGTTGGTTCGATAATTGGCAAAGGTGGTGAGAATATAAGGCAGTTGAAGAAGGAAACAGGGGCCAGGTGTGTATCGAAATAATTTATATTAGGCCGAAATCCAGATTTGTGAAAAACCGGCCTAAGTAGGCTTTTCAAGCCCTCTCTTGCATTGCGATCCGCGATCTAATCCTATTTTCATAAACTTATGTCCGAAAAAAATGTGAATGTTCTGTTTCCTCTACGGAATTTGTTTTGATTATTTCATAAGGGATGTGTTAATATGTTTGCGTTCTAAATTGCATTTAGAGACCTGATGATAAATAGGTAATTATCCTTTTGTTTTGTTAGGTTACGGCTGCAAAGCCGCACCCACATTATCGGCCTCTAATCTAACTTTAGAGAACTTTGGTACTGACTCTTAAAAATTGTATTATTATTTTATAAAGATAGATAGTGCTCTGTTTTGTCAAACAAAATCTTACAAGATAGTGCAATTTGTGATTTGTTTACAAATAAACCTGATTTTAACTGCAAAATATTTTTTTCTGTAAATGAAGGAAAGGCGATTGTAGCAGGTATCTCAACTTTTATATATACCGTAAATCCTCGAATTAGCCCCCTAGGGGCTTATTTATTTGTTATATTTTTGGATGGGGGCTTATTCAAGAGGGGAGCTTATACGAGGGGGGGGGCTTATAAAATTATTGAAAAATTAAAATTAATAAAATTTATAAAATTATAAAATTAATAAAAAGACATTATTAAAAGACCTTGTTTATTTTAGTAGGAATTTCTTTATGAGCATTTAATCAATTACTACCAAAAGTACAACCTCAGATGGCAAAAACCGTCAAAGTGAGGGGTCCAATTCGAGAATATAGGTTATCAGTGGGGGCTTATATCAAGGGGGGCTTATTGACAGTTTGTAGTTTTATAGTGGGGGCTTATTCGAGAGGAGGGCTTTTTCGAGGGGGGGGGGGGCGATTCGAGGATTTATGGTATAAGGAATAAAATCTAGAGTGTAAGGAATAAGCAGAATTGAAGAATATTTGCATAAACATGTTTTATGTTTTAATAGGGCTAAAATTTTTTCATGTTTTAAAATAATATCAAAAGTGACTCAAGTGTTAAGCTAACAATTCTTTCCAAATTCTCAAATTTTGACTCTCCCTTTAGTCCCCAGACCTTCGCACTGATGCCTCTTCTTATTCAAAGTGTCCAGTTGGATTTGCAAAAAGGGCCACCTTTTTTTTAGTCTAAAAACCTAACGAAGTTCAACCTTCTAGGCTCTTTTTATGCAATCTTTCAACCTCAGCTTCGGTCTTAATCTTGATATTCTCTTAGGTATAAACATGAAAGACTGTTTAATCATCACAATTGTTCCAAGGACAGCTTCTATGATTGTTCCAAGACAATATAGTTCTATATTGTCTTGAAGTTATTGCTGATGATTTTCTTTAAATAATTTTAGACTTGACTTTGAAAGAGAACCTGAAGAAAGTAACCAAGGTGAGAAGAAGGACAGAATTTTGGAAATAAGAGGTGAAAGGGAGAAAGTCCACAATGCAGAAGCAAGAATCAAGAAGATCATTGCCGAAACACCCCCAATTGTGAGTGAAGAAGTTTCAGTTCCGCAAGTTGCTGTTGGAAGGATAATTGGAAGAATGGGTCAGACTATAAGAGAGCTCTCTAGAGCATCAGGTAGGAAACTTAACTTTACTTAAGCTACTATTAATGGCCTGTGTTAATTGTTGTTTGTTCTCTGTGCATTGTGGTGTTCTAAATTTTTATCAACTTTTTGCTCTAAGCATTCCATTGGCCAAGCTTTAAAATACTATATATATCTGTCATACTATTTTTTGGAGAATATAACTTTAATAGCCCATAACTGCCAAGTCTGTTTAGACTAGATCACAAATTTAGGAAGACCAGGCCACAGAAATTTATTGAGGAAAAGACTAAAATCTTATTGAGGCTAGACTCTACTCGATTATTTTACCTATTGAGAGAGCTCCTCCTTTAAGTAATTCTTGCCATGAAATTTATCCTGTTGTTCAGTATTTGTATTGTATAAATTTTCTGTAATATTGTCTTTTTCTTGCAGTTTAGTTATTTGTTAGTATGTTCTGTATAAATTGTATGTAGTGGGATTTTAACTATATGAACTTAACTGACTAAGACTGAACTGAAGCTAACTGAGCCTTGAATGTTTGCATCTGTTTGTCAGGGTAAGCAATACATTTTGTGACATTTTTCTTTTTTCTCCAGGAGCCAGAATAGTTATTCCAAGAACTGAGGATAGATCAGCAAATGGGACACAGAAGATCATGGTTACTGGCACATCTCATCAAATTGAATATGCCAAAGGGCTGATTGAAGAGAAGGTAGAGGAAGATAAGGTTTCGAGGAGGACTAGAGGGCAAGAATATGTGACAGGTTGGTAACTTGAGTGATTAAGTTAAGTTATTGATTAATTCCGCACAGAGCTTACTACATGCAAACTTTTGTATATATAGATTCCCCAAGGCTCAATTTTCCAAAAAAGGACAACATGCTAAGCCTTGATGAAAAAATTGGAAGAAAAAACTGATTGATCATTTGCTCTTCTGTTAACAATCAAGAGTATTTATCTCTAAATAACTCCATCATTTATATACCGTATCTCCTCTAATGAACGCCACCCTCTGATAAACTCCCCCCTCTATTGAACGCCGCACCTTCAGCCAACCATTTGTAAAAAAACACCGCCCTCTGATAAACGCCGCTCTTTGTTGAATCCCACATCTTGAAAAGCGGTGTTCATTAGAAAACATACCACTATTTGAATGCTATGAAAGTTTTTATGTCATTGAGACAAGGACTCTGACGCAGGCCGGGGTATTGACATTCTGTGACATTTCGATAATGTAAAGATATCTTTTGTAAACTTTCAAAAATTGTTCACACAATCTTTATTGCATGATTTGGGAAAAGGAAACATTGTCTAAAGTCTATTTTTTTCTTTTTTCATTGCATTCTTAATTTAAAATTTTTCATTTTGTATTGACACTGCCCTGTGATAAACACCACCCTTTATTGAATGCTGCATCCAAAATTTAGAGTTTGTGATAAACGCCGCGGATTTCTTTAGAGGGAATACGATATGTGTTTTCCCTTTCATAACTGTTTTACTTTCTCTATCATGCAAAACCTCCTTTCTTGGCTTTCCTGTGCGCATGCTTCTTAATAGAATGTGGGCTGTGAGCAGACCTCTCTGAAAGAAAAAGGAAGGGGGCAAAAAGGCCCCTTGTTGTTTGGGTGCGTGGGCTATTTAGCCCTTGCAAAATTTGTTGTTTATCGATTCATATTTAAGTATAAGGCAAAAGACATCTTACCTTGTTTACTTGTGAACATTCTTTATCTTTAGGGTGTATTGCTACGTCTTAAAGGGCATGTGTCGTGAACATGATTGGCTAATGCAATACAATTATCTCTTTTGTTTAGTACAAAGCATGGAATCGAGGGTGAATTTTTACGGCAGTAAAAATTAATTAAGAAGAAATGAAAAGTCACGAAACAATGAAATTCCACTCCAAACGCTTTTGTTTTATTAGCCAACTGCTAATGCGACATATGCCCTGAAATGACAAAAGAGATATCTGGAATTTTTTTCACAATTGCAAAGTTTGTTTAGGAACACAGGGTGAGCGATCTTTGTGGTATAATTATGGCTGCTCAATATCATAAGTTCCCAGTTGGCACTGATTCCTGAATTCCCCCTCCCCAAAATGTTTAAAAGCATATAAAAATTTAATGAAACATAGATATAAGTATTAAGTTTTGTAAGTAAAGCATTTAATATAATCATCATCAGGTACCATCTTCTACCATGACCCTCCAACTATCCCAAAATCTGAGTCTTGGTTTGTTGTCATGGTCATAGATAAAACTTAATATAATAATTCTGTTTATATTTTCAGGCAAAAGAGGAAGGTCACCATCTCCAGCCTTTAGGCCTAAACTTTCAACCATCCAACTGCCAAAAACTGAAGGCTTTTTCCCACTGTTTGTGTCAGCATTCGATGTCCCTGGTCATTTTTATATCCAACTTGTGACAAAAGAAAGTTCCAAACTGGACGACCTCACCAAGGAAATCACAGATTTCTTTTGGAATCGAAATACCTCCGAAGGTCAAAGGTCTTTGGATAAAGTATGCGTCGGAGACATGGTCTGTGCCCCTTTTGAGTACGACAACCTTTGGTACAGGGCGACTGTTGTAGAAGTTGATGAGCAAGCAAAACGTGCCACTCTGTATTACATTGATTATGGAGACACTGGGGAGGTGGCGTTTGGTGATCTAAAAAGGCCAAAGTAAGTATTTGCCAAAGTACCCATTTAACTTTCTTTGTGTGAATGAAGAATAGGCCACTGTAGCAGGCTGCTTGACGGGCTTCAAGGAGTTCTTGCGGCGAAAAGTCGATAAAAATGTAGCAAATATGAAACACCGCAATACGCCGAGAATAAACAGTCTACTTCATTTCTTAAACACTTTTTTGCAGACCTGAACACCTCGAACTTGAGGCCCAAGCTATTGAATGTCTTTTGGCTAATGTAGAACCCAAAGGTAAGCTGGTAGTTCTAAATACTTTTTCGTTTGCAAACCATTCTACAGAATTTTACCACTTATTTTCCAAATATTTTAAGAATATTATTTGTATAAGACTTAGATGTTAACCTTCCCAATCAATCTTTAGTAACTTTTGCCAGAACTAACTGTCTCTAAATTGTTGTTCTTTTTTCTAGTCTTCTCTGGAAATACCCCATGTTTTGATGAGATTTATACTTCTCTATGTTTTGATGAGATTTATACTGCTCTACCCTATCTTTTCTGTTCTATGCTATCCTATCTTTTCTGTTCCCTACGTACCCTGTTTAAGCAAAAGTGGTCATATTTTGCCAGTTGCCTCTGGGTTGGTTTCATGCTTTCTTATTTCATTACGCACAACCTGTTATTTCAGTAGGCTTTCCGGTTTCATTTAAAATTTTCCGGTTTGATAAACTGTATGTCATCGTTAAAAGACTCGGTTTTGATTGTAGAACTCGGTTTTTTAAATACCATCTCGTGTTATTTAATTATTTTGAGTTTCACAGAATACATCCTAGTTCAAACAGTTACCTTCGTAGTACCTTGTTTTGGTAAAAGGCATCCCAGTTTATTTAATGTTTCCCGGTTTGATAAGCTAGCTTCCTGCTTTTGGAAGATAAGTTAGTAAGACCTGTTTTCTAAGGATCATTTCAGTTTATTTGATGTTTCCCGGTTTGATAAATTGCGTACGAGTTTTGAAAAATACATCCAACGAGCCTGGTTTTTAATAAATCATCCCGGATTATGTGATAAAATTATCCCAGCTTTTAAGAATTATTACTAGGACCTGGTTTTCTAAAAATCTTGCTTTAAAGGCTGCTCTAAAACATGCTTCCAGGGTTTTTTATTATTCCCTGTTCGATAAACTACATCCAAGCTTTAAATTTTTATACCGGTTTCGTAAAAAGTCGTATCCCGGTTTATTTGATGTTTCCCGGTTTGATAACATACATCCCGGTATGTTTTAGATGGTAAATGGACTGAGGAATCGATCGATAGATTTGAAGATCTCAGTTACTGCGCAAAATGGACACAGCTGATGGGTCGCGTGGTTGGCGCAGATGGGACAGACGGGGGTCGATTGCCTTGCTTGGAGTTGGTGGATACAAATCTCGCCGAGGTTGGAAAAATTTACGATTTTTTGCTTTAATGCAATTATTTATTTTGTTATTTTTCGAGAGTTTAGGACAATATTCAAGGAAGGGATGTTCAAGTGCAAAAACATGAACATTAATCTTTTTAATCAATTTGAAGACTTTCTTATAAGTAAATTTGTTTTAAAACTTCTCTCATCATTTGGGACGTGTTAGTTTTCTATCTTTGATAGACCTGATATTTCAAAAATTCGGCCTATTCTAGTTGAAATCCTCCTTATTTTTGCCTTTGATTAAGTCTTGAGATATACATGACTCAAAGTCTTCAACGTGCATCAGTATTGACAATTAAGTCTTCAGCTTGAAAAATTAGAAATTTCCTCATGTGTGCACAATATTTGCTTACAATCTTTTGTTGGTACAAAACCTAAAAGTGGCTTTGAAAAAAACAAACATTTGTGTCAAGCTTTTCGTCTGACACTCTTCAGAGTATGAAACGTCATAACATAGATTGAAAAACTCTACGCTAGGAAACATATATACCAAGTTGTGGATAGAAATAGGCCAATAAGAAAATGCGAGCACATGGCTGCGTTGCTTATGAAAATTATTATTAACTGGTTTGTTAAATTATTGTACACGCTATTTGGTGTATAGAACAGGACGGTTCTAAGTTGAAACTAAGAGATACATACCACAATATGATCACTGTTTTATATTTTTATAAATGGTTTTAAAAAAAGCAAACATTTTATAACATATTGGCTAAAAGCTTTTTCGTCTGATACTCCTCAAGGCATAAAACGTCAGAATAAGGGTCCGAAAGAACACGATGAAAAATATATACCCAGTTGTGGATCGAAATAGGCCAATAAAAAACGCAAGCACAAGACCGGTATAGTTGACCAATCAGTGCCGCGAGCCTAAAGAAAATTACCAATGGAGTCCAATAGAGAAACAGAAAACGAACTCCTTCTGTCTACACAATGGCGGCTTTTTCGTATAAGTTAAAATGAGATCTACTGGATAGCCGTTGTCCAGAAAGATCGTTTTGAGTTGTTCCCAGTTGTGGAACGACATACCCAGCTGTACCGCCAAAAAACTGTTCATATTTATACATATTTTTATCAATTTTATTTTTCATTTTCAAGGATGTCAACATTGGTGAGCAACTGATCAAAGAAGGTTTTGCTGTGAAGAGCGATTCTCCTCAAGGTGCAAACAAATTTACTTTTTACAAACAAATTTTACTCTCAACATTTGAATTTGCAGTAAAAAAAAATTTCTGAATAATGGCAAATACTGGCACATACTGGTTCATACTGGCACAGCTATGGTTGGTACCTCAAACCCCTTTTGGGAATCGTGGATACATCAGATTACAGTATTTTCCCGTTAATCTCGTACTTTTTCTCTGAAGCATCCTTTTGGCAAGCTACTCTCTTATGACCCACCTTTTAAAAACTTGAATCCAGCTCCCCCTTTCTTAGCCTCTCCCCCCCTCAATTCACCTCAGCTCAGTTTCTTATTTTAAATTTCCAGAACATACAGTATCTTGGTAAAAGAGTTATTACATATTCGACGAATTTTGTAATTCGTGTTTGTTATTAAAAAAAATAAAATATTCAAAAAATTTAAAAAAAAAATAAAAAAACTTCAAAAAAATTCAAAAAATAGAAAAATTCAAAGATATTAAAAAAGATTTAAAAAATTTAAAAAAAAATAAAAAAACTCCAAATAAATTCATAAACCTTCAAAAATTTTTATCAAAATTGAAAAAAAAAAATTAAAGAAAATTAAAAAAAAACGAAACGAAATTCAAAAAAATTAAAAAAAATGAAACGAAATTCAAAAACTTTCAAAAGAAGTTAAAAAAATTCAAAAGTATAATTATATTTAATATTTAATAAATAACAATTGAATAGGATTTTGTCATGAAGGAGAATTCCTTAAGAGTGAGCTCTCTCGGTAGATAAACTTATCGAAGAGAAAACACCCCTTTCCTGCTTACGGTTTTGCTAAAGGCCTTCGGGCTTCCTCTTAAATTAAACATTGCAACTTTGCAACAATCAATTGAAGAAAGAAATGAATTGAATGAAGAGCATGGCGGTGAATAGTTTTTAGTGGAAATTCGCCAAGCCCATCACAGCTAGGCGCGCTGTTCTTATTGTCTCCCCTCCCCTCCTCCTTATTGTCTACTCTTGACTACTCTAAGGTGGGCGTTAAATAGTTTAAATCGTTTCCTGTTTTGTAAAGAGCCCACGTACCTTATTCAAACCCACTGTTGCATCGACGAAAACGTTGGACTAAAATTTCGAGTTTCAAGATGACCTTCCAGTTACTTTCAACAATACTATCGCACCCGCTGCTTATTTACCCCCGTCTATTCCTAACCTAACATAGAAAGGCCAAAAGTCACTCGTGTTACTTTCAATCATTTCAATCACTTTCAGCAATACTTACGCTTCCAATAGAGTCGACTCACTGCTTATTAACCCCCCTGTTTATTCCCAACCTTAACATGGATAACCATTGTAAACCTGTGTTACTTTCTATATTACTAACCAGTAACCGCGTCAAATAAAGTTATCCATTTAATCCTTTGTTCTAACCAGCCAGCCAGGGATCGCAGCTTACAGCAATAACTGAGGGAGTCATCAGCGAGAACTCGAACAATAACTCACCGGATGTGACGTCAGCGACAAAGTTCTTACCGGAAGTGACCGAAGTATTGAGTGGTGTGAGTAGTATCGGAGCTGATAAGGTAAAGAATTCTAGTATCATAACTGAGGATATTTCTTATGACAATGTTGTGTTGGATGAAAGTGCATTGAGCACAGAATTCCCCCCTGATAGTGAAATTTCTACATATAATGAAGACACAGTTGAGTTGTTTACAGACGGGGGTGACAATCATTTGAACCGCAATTCACTTACGTCACTCTCTAGTGTCTCTACTGAAGACACCGTCATACATGTTGTTGATAAATATGGAGTCGAGATCCCTGTTGGGGAGGAGGGCAGTCATGATTTGGGTCAGGAGAAAACTCAGGGTGAGGTTGAAACAGAGTACAAAAAGTCACATGGCCACGATGACAGGCCAATGAAACAAGCTGTTGTGTTACCAAATTTGGCTAATGCTGTAAATGTTGTTGGTTCAGAGACTAAGGTCAAGGAAAGTGAAGGTCAAAGGTCAGGAGAATCAGGTCAGGGTTCAAAAGTGTTAAGCTCTTCAGATGCCACTTTTGCAAAGACGACAAAAGATGATGCAGAAAACAAAGATTTGATTCAAGGAAGCCAATCAGAAGAAGACAATTTGCAGGTGGAAGGTCAAGATTCAAAGGACAGTGGTGTTGACCTTGAGATTGCCTCACTAGATTCAAATTCGCAAAGGGCAGTTAATGACGAGGTCACCCGTTGGATGGAAAGATCATTGGAGGGCAGTACCCAACTTGAGACAATTTCAGAGGATTTACCATTGAAAGAGGCAGTCAAATCGAATTTGCAGTCAACAGAACTTGAGTCAAGCACAAAATCGAAGGATGGCAAGCCATACAGATTCCTGGATAGCATGGAGATGGCAAAAGAGAATCCCATCATCCTCTCTGATGACGAAGACTCGATGTCCTATTTCAGTGCGAGATCAGAACTGACTATTGCTGACACAGACACTGATACAATGAGTTACAAAAGTGCTCCTGACACACCAACAAATAACAGCGAGTTTGAATTCCCAAGCAGAGGTGACTCGATTATTGATTATGACGTCATCACCACACCTGTTGGATCTGATGATGAGAGTTTAATTCCGGATATTGACGCAACCCCCGTCGCTAGAACATCTTCGCCCAAAGTTACAATAACAAGCAGGTCCCCAAAATATCAAATTCGTGTTATAGACGAGTCAATGGACAAGAATCAGAGTCCGAAGACTGTCTCGTCATCAATGGGTAATGTCACGCCGGTTGATGCCGGCACTCTCAGCTCCAGTCCTCAGAGAATTGGTAATTTGAGTGCTAGCATGCCACAGTTTGGAGGACTGAAAACCAGCCAGTCTCGTTTTGGTGGGTCAGGAAGTTTACAAGGTAAAGAGACCTCGATCTGAAAATTGACTAAATGTAGTTTAGAATTAATGTTTTTGATGAATGTTTTCAAGTTTCACGTTGATTTGCAAGGCTTTCTCTAGAATTTCGAACTTATATCCGGTTCTTGGATTCCAGGAAATCAATCTTTTTCTTGGAACAGAAAAGCTTTATTGATGTGGGTGAAACTTTCGTCTATAATATTTTGAAGAGAAATACTTAGCGAAAGCCTTGCTAATTTATGCTTGGATAGTAATTTATGCCACGTAATTTATGTCAATTAATTTATGCCATGTAATTTATGCTTGGGATTGTATTTTATGCATAATTGTGGACAAAATGGTGTGAATGACATTGTCAAGTTTTAGAATGTTTTACTTTGAGGTGTACGATTTTAGTTCTCTGTTTCAGTAACTAGCTAATTATTCTTTAACGGGCTAGTTTTAGAATTTTTTACAATTTCCTTGTAATAATTTATTGAACATGTTACTTCACGCACAATGTGACGTCACTACCACGCCCTACCGCGCCCAATCTCGAGTCACCTGTGAACACTGTTAAATGCTCTTGTTTGAGCTCTAATTATCACCTAGAAACTTCCCATAACTCTTCCTGCCATTGTTAATTTCTTTCTTCTTTGCAAATAAACCTCTTGTAAACAGAGTCCCAAAATAATACCGAGCTTACGAGTGCAACGGGTTTCAGTGTTTAGGAGGCAGTAAGATTTTTGTTTCTTATGATCGAAATAAATGACAATTTGAAGACAGCAATGTCCGCCCTTCACAATATCTTGTCTGCCCCAATGTTACCTTGGAAGCCCCCAGCATTATCCTCTTTCTTCCAAATGATATAGTGCTTTTCCCTGACCCACCCCCCCCCCGATAAACCCCCTAAGTGTTGCCCCGCTTATCACTACTAGCTGCAAAGGCCAGCACCAACCGCCCCCCCCCCCTAAAATGTTCCCATATAACTCCTCTCAAGAACACTTCTACGTATCGTTTACTTAGAATTCAATTGTCAATCAATTGCTAGATAGAAGTCATTAGTTTCGAGAGTTTTTTGATGCAATTTTCGATTTGTTATTTCCGGCATCCATACTTTATCACAACATGTATTTTAGATTCATTTTAATCCTTGTTTTAAGTTTGGTTTCAATTCTATGAAGATTTCATTGTTTTGTTTGAATGGATGTTAAAGCTAATATTTTGGCTATTTCCTTCGCCAGCTCTTGCAACCTACTTGACTCCTTTCTTTTGCCCTCTTCATTGTCGTCTCATCTTCGTTACCCACTTTAAGTTACCCCATTTCTCTTGCCTCTTCTTTCCTGACCTCTTACTCGTTTCTTGAAAATCACAGGGGCGTCGCCAAATTGGGATCCGGGGGGCCAATCTTTTTTCTCACCCTTGTAACATTTATGCATCAATTGTAATGTTTTGCCATTCTTGTAGTAATTGAACTTTCAAAGCATGCCTCTAACCAAAATCTTGGATCTTTATTTATCTTGCTCTAACGTATAGGTTTTGAAATAAAAACGCATCTAAGATTATTTATCTTATAACCACGCCCTTAAAGAGTGAGACACAACATTTATTCGGCAAAAATCTCTTCTGTACCCTTCTGAAAATTTTGTTGGCTTTGCCCCTGAATAATCGCCTCTTCTTTCTTAATAGTCTAATCTTTTTAGGCAAGACTTTTTAATGCTCTTAGATGTGGGATGTGACGGCTGTAAAGGTTACGGGGTGACTATAGATTCCTGCCATGATTAAAGATTCATTTAACCTCACGAAAGTCTTCAGCATGGCGAGAAAACCCAAGGCCATTTGTCTTTAATCATCTCTTCTCAGGGGGCTACAATCCATACAGAAAGTTGGAACACGAAAATTGTCAAGTTCAAAATTGTCAACAGGCAAACAGGCACCAAAACATGGAATGAGATTCCAAGAAACATCAGCATGAGCCCCACAATTTCCATGTTAAAAAGAAACTTGAAGGGATTCCTACAAAGTTAATAAATTCCCAAAATAAAACACGATCCCTAGGTAGAACAGCAACACCTTTATTTTATATATATTAAAGAAGTAATTGTAATAGAGACAGTTTATTTTATTTGTATTATAGCTGATAGGGAATTCGTGTGTGAAGATTTTTGAAATGAAAATGAAAGGCACTCGTGATGGGGTCTTTAGGCAAGCCCGTTGCTATTGGTTGCATGTGGGGTGTGCCCCCCCCCCCTTGAAAAAATTTCATAGTGAAATCGAGAAGTTTATTGCCATCTACGGGTTCCTAGTCTGAAAATTGTCACCTGTTCTTTCAATTTTCAATTTTCATTCACAAAGTATTTTGCGTCTCTGGTACCCAGGGTCTGGTACCCAAGTTAAAGCGAAAGTACATCGAAAGTTTTCAACAAAGGTTGAATATCTGTTTGACGAATGTTTATGTCTGTTTCTTGGGTGAATCAGAAAGTTGACTGTAGAAAGTTGCTGTCCCCTATTGTGCTCAAATTTTTGTGATCACGTGCCGCTGGTGTATTTTAAAGCAATATTTTTATGTTGTTTGTACCGAGACTAGAAATATATTGATGGTATTGCAAGATTTGGTTTAGAAATCATTTTCCGAATGAAAAACCATTTTAAAATTGTCTATATTGATCAATCATTATACCACTTTCATGTTATACGAAATTAGTTTTGACGTTATGTCGAAAAGCCAGCAAACCAATGCGGTTAACTTATGTTTACTATTTAAAACTTTAAGATGCTTAATACATACTTTAATTGGGTGTTATATTCAGGGCACCCAGTTATGAGGCAACGTAAGTCGTGCTGCAATGTCCATAAAATAGACTGGGTCGTTTCTCACATTGTTCTGAATATGATAGATTAAACTGTGCCCTTTCAAAACGGTAAAAGTGAATTTTTGAATATGGTATGGGTGCATCAACCTTTCTTAGTTTCAAAAGAGATTCTGATAAATTTTTAATCTTTGTATACGTTGTATGAGCTTTAACCCGTCAAAATATATTATGACAATTGTATATTCAATTCATCCTAAGGTTAATGACACCATAACGGTATACATTTGTACTTAATTGTTTGTGATGAAGTGGAACACTGCCAAGGGTATGCCGAGAATGTATGGGAGAGAAACAGGCTTTTTGCTGAATGCCATGTTGCTAAAGGAGCAGTTGCCGTGATGTGCGTTGCAGTTTTCGGTAAAACAACATTTTCCTAAAAAATAAACAGAGTATATATTATATCAATAAAGTAGTCATCGAAAATTTCTTTTAATCGGTTATTTTAGGGAATGGCCAAAGAGACCTTACAAGGGAGCCCTGACAAGGGAAAGGAGGGGTGGAGGGGTTCAAAAAGATGGAGGACAGATAAAGTGTGATGATTTTATAGGTTATCGGAGAAGATTGATAGGTTGATTATGTGATAAGAAGATTAAACATGTCAAGATTCGATGATAAATAAACTGGCATACGCAACTGGGTTTGTCGAGAACAGAGTCAATAGAAAGAAGCCAAGGAAGACCTCTTGTGTCCCCATATTCATTCTGTTGAGAATGGAACCAGATGTATACTGCCATAGATAAGAAAAACCATTCATCTTCCGTTTGGTTGTCTAATCACCTTTAAATAATTATCACGAAGTGTGCTTACAACGAGAAGTCTGACATAGCGAATGTCTGATTTAAAAGATGTAAGACTTTTGACTTTAACCTCCGTGACAAATTTTTCCAACTGCCTATAAAAATTATAAGTTTGTATAATAATTTTTGAAAGGGTGAATCGTTGAAAAAGCAGTATCTTGTTGTCAGGGTGTGTATCAAAAGAATCAGCCTGTTTAAGGAAGGATGAGAGACAAGTTTCAGACAAGACAAGAGACATAAAGTAGGTCAGTTTTAGTTCCGGTCTAGGTCTGGCAAATTTCTACGTCTGAATGTCATCCAAGATTTCTATGTGACCAATTTGAATGTCTGGCCATTTTCTACAGGAGTGACACGATTCCTGTTAATCAAAAGATTTGGTTTGGAATGCAAAGATTTGGATGGAAACTTTTTAACCAAAAGGTGGAACATTTCTCTACTCGGATTATCAAATGTGCCCATTGGCGCATCTGGTGAAGCAATTAAAAAGTATTGATTTTCTCTTTCGTTTGTAGTATCAACTGGTGCATCATCTGCAAAATGGCACCAATAAACAGAGTTGAACATTTTTCCATGTTCATTCACGGGAGAGAAACCTAACTGCTTGTATTCCTCGGATTTAATGAATGTATAAAAGCAAAGATTGAACAGGAGAGGGCTTAGACAATCCCCTTGAAGAACGCCACGTTTGACAGGGATGAAGAAGGAAACAAAATTACTGGAAATGGTAGACGTTCAAAACATTGAAAGAATCTTTAGAGCAGAAGTTGGATTTTAGGAGGTACGCAAATACTTGGAATATCAGATTACGGTGAACTTCACCAAATGTACAATATTAATGAGAATAAAAATCATGATAATAATAACCATTCGAAATCATCAATGATCTGTTAATCATAATTACTGATCATCGTCATTAATTGCCGTTAATTCAAGTTATTATTTAACACCATTAGAAGTTAAGAAAGCGGTTTCAAATTCAGTTTATATTCAATCAAATCAAGCAAATAGAACCACCTGTCAAGGCATCTTTTAATTAAAACAAATGCGGCAGTGATTTTCCCGCGTAGCTGGTCAAACAAAAATTATCAATAGAAATATTTGAAACCGAATTTTGTCGGATTGAATAAATACCGGTTGTGATTCTTTGATGTATAGATAGATGCCTGTAGCACCGCTGCCTAAGAACGGCAGGGTCACAGGTCAGAATGTTGGAGTTAACGCTACTGAAGAAATTAAAATTACCGTTTACTGGTTTGTCATAAAGCGCTTTTTGCCATACAGGCAGAGCTTAACACGTTGTTGGCGTGTAGAAACAAGGCTGTTATGACGCTTGATGCGATCAGGCAACTGTTAAGGTCACAGAACATGGGTCACAGGTCATGGGCCAAAGAAAACTTGTGTCATAGGTGAAAGGTTATAGGACACGGTTTACTTTTCACGCCTAATGGACATGGGTGGCCATTTACACGATGTCTTTCACACTCAAGTTAGGTTATCGGGATTAAACGTCTCTTTTCTATGTTTCAAGTAAATTTTTATTTGGCGTAACGGATGCACTGCCCTTCCTTTATCCTCCAGTCTCATACATTATCAAATGGTTTTGATATTTTAAAAGAACAGAAGTTTCTCGTAGAAGGAAGCTCAAAAATCTATTGCAAGATGCAAATATTGGAGACTGTTGCCCATTCTAGGAGCTGGGAACCCCATTACCCCCCTCACTGAGGTCCTAAATCGAAACACTCCTAATTATTAACATACGATTAGTTAATTCTATCGTGCAAAAGTTTGAAAAGCAATTAAGAAATTCACCTTCTCTTCCTTCAATCATTGTTGTGAAGCCATTTCTAGTCATGCTGCATTTTGCTCTGTCCAGGCATCCCCAAATATAATTCATTACAAGTTCATCTTCTGTTGGATCGCATGCATAAAAGCAAGCAGTGTTATTGGATGTCCCTGCGGTGCAATTCTGCGAATCCACGTAATCAACTAAAAGGGCTTCCGTGACTCCAACACGACATTGCAAGCACACTATGCTGTTGATAAAGGAACTTAAAAAAATCAAAGCAGAAAGATGTAGCGTTGCTTGTTTGGCACCCATGTTGATACTCTCCTTCTCCGATTACATGCAATAGTTTAAGTCAAGGTATCTTTTCACGACCTGCATGCAATTCTTTACGTGGATGAGGCGGTTTTCGGCCGCTTACGAGGCTGTTGTCGGCCCCCTATACGAGGCTCGCCATCTGCCAACGGCCTCAGTGCAGCTGAAGCTTGGCAATAAAATACCAAATTGATGAAGTCATAAAATCTTTTTAGAATTTTAAATTGTGACCGTATGTCCTAAAAGGACAATATAAATGCCTCAAAATGTGCAAATTCGCAAAATTCGAAGATCGCATACATATCATACTGAAGCACTTTTTGTTAAAAAATTTTCAGAGTATAAACGTTTGATGGTGACCGAAAGTAAGCAAAATTGAGAAAATTTTATATCGATCATGGGGATTAAAAAGAACTTTTCGTCCGATGCTATCCTTTAAAGAGGCTATTGTAGAGAGAGAGAGGAAGCAGGTCATTTTTTAAGAATTTTCCACTGGTGGGGCATTTGAGAAAAGGGCATATAGAGAAAGGAAGAATTTACAGATAAACAGGCTTTCGAAAATAGACTTTGTGAATTAGAAAAGGAATCACATATAGAAGCAGCAGTTCCAGGGAAAAATGAATTGAGATTTGAAACCTGTTCAATGAAGATTTCATCCACAAATATCTCAAATAAAGTAAAAAGTAAAAAAGTCACCGAATCATAAGGGCACTTAAACGATGGGGCAAACATTTTCCACTGGTGGGGCAATGAAGGGGCTGGTGGGGAATTTCCCCACTACTCTATATGTTAAAAAATGCCCTGAAAGGGAGTGAGAAAAGGTGATGCGGCGGCTGGATACAATTTTATCACGTCAAGAGATTCGCTTCCGTTCTGATGCCGTATTTAGATGTGGGAAGTATATTTTTATCCCTCGTGTTTTTAGTTCTAGGCCAACAGGGCAATAATGTCCTTGGATTTTACAAAATTTCGTTGTACTTAGTTTTATTACGATTTCATAGTTTCTTTATTTTTTTGCTTCGAGCACTGAAGTTTCTTATTTTTTTCTGACTGTACAGTACTCGTTTCTTATAGCCAGTTTCTTATAAAAAATGAATGCAATAGAGAAATTTACCTGGTCTTGTACAGGAAACCGATGCTTTCTGCTTGTAAAAACGAAAGCACTCCATTTGGAAATTCGTTAGCAGCGCTCACTTTCATGCAATCACGCGTGTTTATTTCTATGTATGTTATGCGCTGATTCGCAGGTCACGAGCTATTCACTAATTCACGCATCGAAAATACGCCGATCACGCAATCACGCCAAAATACCTGGTAGCCCCCCCCCCCTATGATATCTCTGATTTATTCGAAATTTCCCACGATCTCTTCCCTTGATCTTATTTTGTTCTTGATCCAAAATTTATTTCTTTTGACAAAAACTTTTACTTCCAATAAATAAGAGTCCAGTTTATTGTATACATGCAATGAACAGATAGTTATATTATTTTAATTTCCTTCTAAATTTGTCTGAAAGAAGTTGATCAAAAATTGGTCGAAAACTTGTGGAATATATTTTTTAAAACTTTGTTTAATACTTGTCCTAAAATTTTGACGAAATTTATCCAAAATTTTGTCTGAAATTTTGCAAGAATTTGATAATTTACGTCAGAAATATTTATGCTCATAATTTGTGGCCCAGATTCCCTCGATGTTAATCGATTTTTATGAAAACTTTATTGTTTCTCAGCTTTCACAAGAAGACGGGACAAAATAATAATAATAATCAATTTGAAGACAATTTATGATAAATTTTGCAGATTGAAATATTACATACGATATGTCTGATAAATTCTGTTTGCTAAGAAACACGAAGAAAATAGAACAATTCAGGTGCTCGTTAAAGAATAAATTATAGCCAGTAAAATAAATTCTTTTGTGTTTAATTCAAATCATTAAAGATAGATCATGTTTTAAATGCTTTATCTTAAAATATGACAAAAAATTGAACTGAGGAGTAAATTTTTAGTACTTTGGGATTTTCCAATCGTCCAACGGGGCAACGGGGTTTCCTTTGACAACTTGTTCCATGTTTCCAGAACTTTCGTTGTACTTATAGTCGACGCAGCCTTGTGTCGCACTGGCTTCTGGGTAATAATCGCAGTAGAATTGAACTGAAAAGAAATCGACATTTTTTTGTAATTGTGACCTTGAAGTGTTTCGCTAGGAAATGTTAGATATTAAATGTTATGCTCCAAAAAATAATATGAAAGGCAAGGTCTAATTCTGCATTTGATAAAATGTATTCCCGACCAAAGGGGTGTTCTCCCCTCGTTAGTTTACCAGCTTTTTGGGGAGTCCCTCCTAAAAATTCTAGTTTGTGCAAGTGAGTCCGAACTTTTAGCATGTATTCTAAATTACATATACTCATACTGTTTAATATATATTATTATTCAATAAATTATTGGTACGTTGACATTTTGAGGATAAATGTCGGATAATAGCCGAAACTAAGCCATCAAGTTCCAGGTTTGGATCGAAAGCATATGCGTCACAAGAACCAATCAAACGCGTCTTTCTTCCTCTCACGTGACTTTCGATCCACACCTGGATATCTTTTTTCTGCTTACTTTTGGTCTTTATCCGACGTAATACCGTGAATTAGATTGCGTCGTTATGTGAAGCCGTGAAGTCATATCGTTCAGTTGAAGTCGCTTATAGTCGTGTTTAGAGTTGCCGTTAAATGAAAGTCGTTTAGTTATTGGAAGCTTCGTTGAAACCGCAGTCGATTGAAAATCAAAGAAAACTTTGATACATATTTTGTTGTCCTCCTTTTGCTCATCTTTACCCGTAAAACATTATAGTTTTACAGTAGGAAGTAGAGTCACCTAGATAATTCGGGGTCAAATAGGTAATTTTTTTACAGTTCCAAAAATCTCGATGTATTGGTACTTCGTGCAAAAGAAGGAGCTAAAGACTGACAGGGGACAAAAATCACTTTAACAATGGGACGTGGGGAAATGTAAAATTGCCACTGCATTCGTAATGGATAATTTCTAATCGGTGATAGTTTACAGTTACACAGAGGTGTGAACGACAACATGTGACAATCCGTGGCACTCTATGGAACAAAAGGGTCCTTTTTGGCCCCTCAAGTTAAAAACTCATATTTCACCCAAAAGGGTTCATTGTGACAATATGTGACAATCCGTGGCACTCTATGGAACAAAAAGATTCCTTTTTGGCCCCTCAAGTTAAAAACTCATATTTCACCCAAAGGGTTCATTGTGACAATATGTGACAATCCGTGGCACTCTATGGAACAAAAAGGTTCCTTTTTGGCCCCTCAAGCTAAAATCATATTTAGTAGAAAGAGTTATTTGTTCATCCGTACCTTTGCAGGTTGGCACATCGCAATATTCCCATCTCTTGCTGGTTGTAGTGTAGCACCAAGGTCCATTTGGCTCGCCATCAGGGTTTCGGCAATAGTTTCCAGTCAAATCGTCGTTGGGGTGGCTTTCAGCAGTTTTTGTGTGTCTATGTGGGGTTTGAGCAGCCCAAGCTTGGCATGATTTACCAGACGATGTCTTGCTGACTGTGCCACGATAATCTCCGCCTTTCTTCGTCATCTTACATTCGCCTGCAAATACAAAATTTCTCTTTTACGGCGAAGCATTCCAATGTACTATCACTAAAGGCTCGTGCGCAGCCGGCATGGTTAGCGGTAGTTTTCTTACGCGAGGAGAAATTAACTGTGTTTTGTATTTTCATGCGGTATGATATTTGGCATGCAGTATGATATTAGGCACGCAGTATGATATTTGGCATGCAGTATGATATTTGGCCGGTTTTTAAAATAAAGTCGAATAGCATGCCGGTTGTGCAAAAGCCTTTAAAGTAGAAAACCATAAGTCACCTAAGTTCATGGCGTGTTCAATTTCGAATGTGACAATTCATAGACGCTCGAGCACGTACTAAGGCGGGGGAGGATGGGTATTAACAAATCGAGTACTTTAACGGTAGTTTTTCCAACATTACGGCTCCGGCGTGCCTGCAATCGATTGCTTCGCATTATGCCCTGGGGTTAACTCGGGGAGGTGGGACATCTACCTTTTGTCTCTTTTTGTCTGCACAGGTATGCCCATTCAGGTGACCATGCCACCATTATCCTAGGGCAGGTCAAAGACCTTTTTTGGCAGAAACGTTGATGTCATTATCCTCCAAATTGAACTTATCCCCGTCTTCGTAGCAAATATAATACGATACAAATGTGAAACAACAATAATATGAAACAGAGTAATCTCAATTTGAGCTGCACTATCGATGAATTTAAAGAGCATTAAAAAGAGACATATACCTTTAGACAAAAGCTTGGCCATTGCAGCATTGAAGTTTCCGCATTGCTCTTCAGTTCGGGTGCACAAGGAGCGACAGGGGGGTAGGGCCCCGTAGTGGTTTGAGAATGCTGGCGCATACGTAGCACATGTGTATGGTTTAGTGAAATCTGAGCAACCGGTTGCATGCATGATTTTAAGCGCTTTGTAGAGGTAGTCTTGTGCAACGGCTGACTGGTTCGTTTGTTTCATGAAATTGACCCGGGATGTCAAGCTGTAGCCGAGTGATTTGCAGAACTCTAGTTCGAGTGGGACAGGTTCTTTCAGCATTTCCAACAGCCTGCTTCGAACTGGTGTAGCGTCAATGAAGGCAGAGCCGACTGCAGCTAAAAAGAAAAACGCGGTTAAAAATTTCATATTTGCAAACTTGCCCTGTTTCTTCAACCACTGATTCTTGCCCCTTTAGGAGTGTGACTTTCCTGCATGAAACCGTTCACCGAACAACGGCGTTGCAACCGGCACTCGTATTTAAAGCCTGATCTTTCCGGGGGATCAAGCAATCTTTTGTGTGTGATTCCCCCTGAGTTATATCAAAGAGCATGCGCAATGGTAATTTAGCTCAATGCTCATGCTCTGTTATTTTAACTTTAACTGTAAGGACGGGGGATATTTATGTGTCAATGCGAGGGGATTGGAAACTAGTCACATGTATCAAGGAAATTGCAAGGAACGTGAGAAGGAATGAGTTGTGCAAAGTATTCGCAGAAATTGTTATATAACCAGAAAACTAACAATCCTCCGGGGTTTATTGAAAAACGATACTCCTTCAATGCTATAGATTTTGTTCATTCCAGGGCCGTAAATCCCGGGGGGGACGGGGGGGACTGGACCCCCCCAAAAATCTGGAGCAAAACGATTTTTTTGGAGAAATTACCATCATTTTCCTTAAAAGAAAGAAATCCCTGGTAGCCGGGTTAGAACCAAACTACGTTTTTCTGTGTTATTGCAACAAACCTCAGCCACTAAGGTTATTTTTGTAAGCAGAGTGGTTTTTAGAATTTTTACAAGATAGAAACTTTCCGTTTTCTACCGTTTTTCCGTTTTCTACCGTTTTATTTTTGAAAACAAAGTATGAAATAAAAAGAGAGCAACCTGTCATTTTATTTGACCTATTTACTAACTTATTTACCTACATTTCTATTATTTTTCTATTATTTGCTTTTATTTAGTGAATCACTTTTTGTATCATTGAAATGTATTCATTTTTTATGTGTAAAGATGGCCTACTGAAAGCACTCAAAATAAGAAGACGCACATTTCTGTTCAGAAATTAAATTTCTACCAATCAATACAACAGCGTCCCATATTTCCCCAAAGTCTGTAACTAAGGTTTAAGCACAACTCTTCCCCTCCACAATTTCACCCAATAAACAATAATCTGTGTTCTTCTGAGAAACGCCGAACTTTTTATCCTGAGCGATTCTAGTATTTTATTAAATTTAGTCTGGGGGATGCTTTTTTAGCCTTTCTAGAAGCTAAAATTTCAAAAATTTTCTTCCGCGTCGGACCCAACCATGGTGGGTCCTCCTGCGACAGTAAACTTGATTCTTAGCATCCAAGGTTGAATTTCTTAGGGCCGTCTCTGAAAAATGTTATCCATCCAATTATCAACACAAGTCAATGTACTAAGGAATATCTATAAATACCTTCTATAGAGCAGAAAGTCTTTAGAAGTCCAAAAATATTGACTTTTGTTTTTAAAGTAATTTGCCCCTCAACTGTTTCCATAACACACCCTTGTGGTGCCATGCCCACTGCATATTTTATATTCATTCGCTCTGCTGACCCCCCCAATTCACATGACAGATTTACGGCCCTGGTTCATTCATTAGCTCCCCTCCAAAAAAGCCAAAAAGCAGCATTGTTTTATGCATCGATGTCAAATGAGTGATCAAAGGCCAGATTGCATCAGAGCTCCCAGAAATACAACACATTGCAACGCATTCACCAATTTCGTAGAAGCCTTATGACCTTGTTAACTGCAAGCAGTCGAGCTAAATCCAGGCCCTTGGGCAAAATCGCTCAATGCAAGCAAACAGAAATTGCTCAATGCAAGCAAACAGAAATTGCTCAATGCAAGCAAACAGAAATTGCTCAATGCAAGCAATTTTGACATGCAAATTAAGCCCTTTAATGGGCGAATTTCGCTTGGGATCCACTAAATTCGTAATCAGTATGGTCGAAATACCCAAAATCAACTGGATCCCAGCTTCTACTAAAAAATGCCCCTTGTTTTATAATTTCTTGGAATTGGAACCATTCTTGGAAAGAAAGATTCCAGTAAATATGTGAAACGCCATATTAAATTTCGTTTGCTTTCTCCTATCATCATGTTATATAATCATTATTTTCCAGACATAACCTTTCCTTGAATTTGATCCTGCAAAAAAGAAAGCTTTCAACAAACATACATTTTGTCAATACAAGGAAGGAAAGAAAGATTCCAATAAATATGTGAAACTCCATATTAAATTTCGTTTGCTTTCTCCTATCATCATGTTATATAATCATTATATTCCAGACATAACCTTTCCTTAAATTTGATCCTGCAAAAAAGAAAGCTTTCAACAACATACATTTTGTCAATTCAAGGAAGGAAAGAAAGATTCCAGTAAATATGTGAAACTCCATATTAAATTTCGTTTGCTTCCTCCTATCATCATGTTATATAATCATTCTTTTCCAGACATAACCTTTCCTTGAATTTGATCCTGCAAAAAAGAAAGCTTTCAACAAACATACATTTTGTCAATACAAGGAAGGAAAGAAAGATTCCAATAAATATGTGAAACTCCATATTAAATTTCGTTTGCTTTCTCCTATCATCATGTTATATAATCATTCTATTCCAGACATGACCTTTCCTTGTATTTGATCCTGCAAAAAAGAAAGCTTTCAACAACATACATTTTGTCAATTCAAGGAAGGAAAGAAAGATTCCAGTAAATATGTGAAACTCCATTTTAAATTTCGTTTGCTTCCTCCTATCATCATGTTATATAATCATTCTATTCCAGACATGACCTTTCCTTGAATTTGATCCTGCAAGAAAGAAAGCTTTCAACAACATACATTTTGTCAATTCAAGGAAGGAAAGAAAGATTCCAGTAAATATGTGAAACGCCATTTTAAATTTCGTTTGCTTCCTCCTATCATCATGATATATAATCATTATATTCCAGACATGACCTTTCCTTGTATTTGATCCTGCAAAGAAAGAATAAAGCTTTCAACAACATACATTTTGTCAATTCAAGGAAGGAAAGAAAGATTCCAGTAAATATGTGAAACGCCATTTTAAATTTCGTTTGCTTCCTCCTATCATCATGATATATAATCATTATATTCCAGACATGACCTTTCCTTGTATTTGATCCTGCAAAGAAAGAATAAAGCTTTCAACAACATACAGCATGTCAATACAAGGAAGGAAAGAAAGATTTCAGTAAATCTGTGTAATTCAAACTTTTCTTGAGGATTACAAATGTACAATTTACAGAGCTTAGAATTGGGTTTTTGATGATTTTATGATTTGATGCTTGTAGTCACATCTGTTCTGTGGTTTAGTCCAGTAGAGAGGACCAGTGGCGAAGGGGGTGGGGGGGGGGTTGCTAGGGAGCACGTACCCCCTCACTTTTCTGCTAAGCTTGAAGCATACCCTGTGTTTATGAACGTAAAGTGCCCTCCCTAATGAGATTAAACACGTATCTCATCATTGCTCCAATTTAATTTCATTTGCTGGCAACTTACTAGTTATACGCTACTTTTGTTTCATCTTTTCATTATTGGATTTCGATTCACTCTATCGATTGCAGTATTTTGATGCTGTTGATGTGTACCTTGTAGAAACAGGTAGAAGATCTGGATGCTGGAAGTGCTCGAGTTCATTGCCCTCAATTTTTTGGTATGCAAAAATATTTCCAAAGAGGCCCTGCTCAGTGGCGGAGCCACGGGGGAATGGGGGGGGGGACTTTTTCAGAGAGTTGGTCCTTGAGATTCTTGCACACCTGATGAGAAAACTTCAGGGGGGGGGGTATGTACGTTATCTAGATCGTCACATGTAAATGACATTTCTTGGGAGACAACAGTTTCAAACAGGGGAAAAGGGCGTGGTCCAAAAGGGCGTTATCCTTGACACACCTTTTGTTCCCCCCACTTCCCAGGCTGGAGCCGCCGCCCCTGTTGGGAAGCACTTAATTTGAGTTCGACTTATAGAAATTGGTCCCTCTATCTTGAAATTCGTGGGGGGGGGACTTTCTAGATAAAATGCTGCGTCATTATGAGTCGTTTGAAAATGTATTAATTGTTTATGAACGGCTGAGGGATTTTCATTTAATTTTTAATAGCCTTATAATCAAATTAAGAATCGAGCAATCTTGCATTACCCCCTGGAATACTGTAGCTTTGATTAACAGCGAAAGGAAGATAATAGTTTCCAGGGGGATACTCTACATTACTTTGCCTCCTTAACTGCGATTTAACAAGAGACCTGCATTCGATTTCTCCTCAAATTTTATTTGACTTTTCTTTGATTAAAGTCGGGTAAGAGAATTTTGAAAGTCAAACTGTTTCGAAGAATTTTTTCGAGAATAATGACTGGTTCCGTTAAAGTCCAGATTGAATACTGGTAAGATATTTTCAACTTATTTTGCGTAATGGGCCTAAGATGAAATGCATTGAAACTTTTTGGCCTAGTCTCCAATCCTGCAAACGGCTAAAGAATAAATAATATATGCTTGTAAAGTAAAACCTCAACACGAACGCCAGTGCCACCATTCAAAAATTGGATTTGTGTACTTATGGCTGATATATCAATATTGAACTTTGGAGGGGTTGGGAGGGGAGGGGGTTGGTTAAGGGTGCAGATCTGTCAACCTGGAAATTTTGAAAACCTGAAGATTTTGGATTTTTCATACGAAAAACAGGGAGATGACCGGAATTTTTTGAATTTTAGAAACAACAAACTTTTAAAATGTTGTGCTGGACAAACCGCTAGTGACAAATACTGTCATAGGAAACTTCTTCGTTCATAACAATTTTTAGTCTTTTCTGTTTATCCAACTGACAATGAAGTCGGTGTAATAATTCTAACTGTAAGAATGCCTCTGCTAAAAGAAAAGAAAAAGCATGGAGAAAATTTGAAAAAACCAGGAGACTGGGAGAATGCAAACAAACCTGGAGTCTCCCAACAAAATTGGGAGAGGGGGTATGCACAATATAACTGCATGATCTGGGGTATGTCCTATCTTGGAATTACAGAGGTGCATTATCAAAGGCAGAAATATAGAGTGTTTACTTTACAGGGGGTCATATTTTAGTTTTGAATTGGGAGAGGGGCAAGGTAGAATTAAAATCTCTTACCAAAATATTTTGAAAAAGTTCTTTGGTGTCAACAGAAGATTTTTATGTTGCCCCCCCCCCCCTCAATCATCAGAAGCCAAATTTTAAACTCAAATTGTAACAAATTATTTTAAAGAATGCTCTATGCACAAAATCATGTAACATAGCATTTGCAAAGCAATGCAAAGGCCCAATGCATTCTTTGCTTCTGGTTAATTCTAGGGGTGACCTTGGTGGTGTCCAGTTTGCCTTGGACAGGTCATACTAAAATAATGGAAATACTGTTTTTAAACAAGCAATTATTCTGTAGTTTTTTCTTTCCTATCAAATTTCTTGTTTACAATTCAATATCCGACTTTTGAAAAATATTTTGACAAATCATCAAAATATCTGGAAGGCATCGAGTCATGAAAAAAGGGGGTATACCTTAATTTGCAGAGTCGTGATTTTTATGCTGCTGTGCTATTGGTGGGCATGAAACTGGTCGCATGAACTCACCATGTGCTTAAACTGCGGTTATAGTCACAACAAATGTTGCTGGAAAGCTGTGACAATAATTGGAATGTGACTGTAAACACATCTAAATTGAAAGGTTTTGCATGTTTGGGACTAAATTTTATTTGAGTGTAACTGATAGTGTGACATTAAGCTGAGTGACTATATCTGAAGTCGACTTTCGAAACTGAGTGACTATATCTGAAGTCGACTTTTGAAGCTGAGTGACTAAAACTGAAGTCAACTTTCGAAGCTGAGTGACTATATCTGAAGTCGACTTTCGAAGCTGAGTGACTAAAACTGAAGTCAACTTTCGAAGCTGAGTGACTATATCTGAAGTCAACTTTCGAAGCTGAGTGACTATATCTGAAGTCAACTTTCAAAGCTGAGTGACTATAAGTGAAGTTGACTTAGCAAGTTATCAACAACGGATGCCAATATTGTAATATATTCTAGTGATAAAAGTTAACCCTCAGGAAGAACGCTCATATTTCAGTGCATATTACTAGAATGTATGTTACATGAAACTACAGCAATCACCCCAAAACCAAATGGCCTTTTTGCAATGAATCAGTGTCTTTAAATGAAGTTATGTAACCATTTTTCAAATGTATACAGAAAGAATCCCCACTTTCATGTTGCATAATCATCTTTCTTAAGACGTTCTAATAATAATTTGTTGTATAAGTCTAACCGTATTTACGTCTATTTAAAAACTTTCTAAAAATTGATGTAGAAGTGGCTCAACTTAATTCCATTCAAATTGAATAGAATTTTGAAATAATCTTTCTTAAGAAGTTTTAATGATAATTTGTTATTTTCCTATCAGTATTGTTAAAACCCTGTTGCCATAAATAAAAGCGTATTTACGTTTATTTAAAAACATTGTATGAATCGATGTAAGAGTGGCTTAACTTAATTCAATTCAAATTATATAGAATTTTGAAATCATTTTTTATAACATCGTGAATTATATAACTTGTGCTCCACATGGATTATGTAACCATCATTGATATGGTCAAAGCCACTTATAGTCACTCCACTTAAAGTCTAGACCCAAAAAGCTAACAACTGTTCAATTTAGCTCCATTCACAGTCACACTCCAGTTATTGTCACAGCTGTTCAGGCAACATTTGCTGTATCTAAACCTAGAGTCTACTGTATAAAGTTTTTGCTAACCTTTGGTCATCATCTGAAATTTATGCTCTGAAGAGTGTCAGATGAATTGTATTTCTGTATGATGTGTTTCCACACTTCTAAGCGTAAAGCAGCACTCCTGAGGACCCTATCAACTCTACTAATCTAGATAATCCTGATTAAGATTTGGCTAAGATTCTCAGTCACTTCTTAGGATCCTATCAAAAATCATAATGGATTCAACAGCTACATCTAATTGACTTATCTTGACTCGACTCATCTAGATAATCTTGATTAAGATTTGGCTAAGATCCTCAGTCACTTCTTAGGATCCTATCAAAAATCATAATGGATTCACCAGCTACATCTAATTGACTTATCTTGACTTGACAAATCTTAACAATCTTGATTATGATTTTGCTAAGTTCCACCTTGAAATTAAAGGCATTGAGTCATTGGAAATACCGTATTCTGTCTAATGAGCGCCCTCTCTCCCAAAGAGTGCCCCTCTCTAACGAGCGTCTCTCTCTCCAAGAAACGCCCTTCTCTCCAACAAGCGCCCCTCTCCTACGAGCACCCTTTGATAAAGAGCACCCCTCTCTAATGAGCGCCTCTCTATCTAATGAGCGCACCTCTCAAATGAGCAACCCCTTTCCTAGGCCAGAAATTAAATAAACAATCCTCCCCCGGCGTTCATAGAGAATACGGTAAGTCTTCTCTATGAAGCTGTTTTGTAAATCTGTATGAGGAGAGCTCATCGGACCAGTCTCCAGCCTACCAATAGCATTGGAGCACGAAAACCATGATCCCACGTATTTAGGTATACTCCCCCCTCCTTTTATCATGACTCAAGATTCTAAGATCTTAATCCTCGATTAGAAAATCCAAGATTCAATGGTAGTTTATATTTCATGTTGTTTATTTCAATGTTTTAGTGGTGGATGAGGGTACGCCCCACGATATGGGGACTTGGCTTCTCAAATCAAGAGAGCTGTCCCTGATGCAGATGTGAAAGGGATTGTTGGCAAAAGAAGTGCGTACACTACTTCACTTGTAGACACTTTGTTTGAAGTTACACTAACATTTAAAATCACATAAAATGGACATTTTCATTCTTTCCAAGGTGTGTTCGGCACCAAATCCAATTATCAAGCACCCCCCCTCCCCCGTTGTAAAAATAACAACTGACGACGTTTAAATAAATTATCATAAATGATAGCAGGAGTCGAAGAAGACCGAATATTGATAATGGCGGACCCTGATTTGGAAATTGTCCTGGCCTATGTTTAGGTACCTTTTCGTCCTAGTTAATCTTTCTCCTTCACTACATGTATTTAGACATGTACAGTCGAATCCACTTGTAGCCACTTTGCTTGAAGTTACACTACGATTTAAAGTCACATAAAATGGACATTTTCATTCTTTCCAAGGTGTGTTCGGCACCAAAATCCAATTATCAAGCACCCCCCCTCCCCCGTTGTAAAAATAACAACTGACGACGTTTAAATAAATTATCATAAATGATAGCAGGAGTCGAAGAAGACCGAATATTGATAATGGCGGACCCTGATTTGGAAATTGTCCTGGCCTATGTTTAGGTACCTTTTCGTCCTAGTTAATCTTTCTCCTTCACTACATGTATTTAGACATGTACAGTCGAATCCACTTGTAGCCACTTTGCTTGAAGTTACACTACGATTTAAAGTCACATAAAATGGACATTTTCATTCTTTCCAAGGTGTGTTCGGCACCAAAATCCAATTATCAAGCACCCCCCCTCCCCCGTTGTAAAAATAACAACTGACGACGTTTAAATAAATTATCATAAATGATAGCAGGAGTCGAAGAAGACCGAATATTGATAATGGCGGACCCTGATTTGGAAATTGTCCTGGCCTATGTTTAGGTACCTTTTCGTCCTAGTTAATCTTTCTCCTTCACTACATGTATTTAGACATGTACAGTCGAATCCACTTGTAGCCACTTTGCTTGAAGTTACACTACGATTTAAAGTCACATAAAATGGACATTTTCATTCTTTCCAAGGTGTGTTCGGCACCAAAATCCAATTATCAAGCACCCCCCCTCCCCCGTTGTAAAAATAACAACTGACGACGTTTAAATAAATTATCATAAATGATAGCAGGAGTCGAAGAAGACCGAATATTGATAATGGCGGACCCTGATTTGGAAATTGTCCTGGCCTATGTTTAGGTACCTTTTCGTCCTAGTTAATCTTTCTCCTTCACTACATGTATTTAGACATGTACAGTCGAATCCACTTGTAGCCACTTTGCTTGAAGTTACACTACGATTTAAAGTCACATAAAATGGACATTTTCATTCTTTCCAAGGTGTGTTCGGCACCAAAATCCAATTATCTAGCACCCCCTCCCCCGTTGTAAAAAAGACAACTGACGACGTTTAAATAAATTATCATAAATGATCGTAGGAGTCGAAGGAGATCGAATAATGATAATGGCGTCCCCTGGCTTCAAAATTATCCGAGATTATGTTTAGGTATCTTTTCGTCCTAGTTAATCCTTCTCCTTCACTGCATGTATTTAGACATGTACAGTCAACTCCACTTGTAGCCACTTTGCTTGAAGTTGCACTACCTATTGGGTCATATAGACTATTTGTTATTGCTGAAACCTTGAAAAGAAGTATAATTAATGAAATATTACCAAGAATTCCCTTCAATGAACCCTAAACAAAGAAGATATCATTTCAGAAAGTATTTATGCAATCGTTGTCAGGTAAAAGCGTTGGCAAATATAAGTTGAAACCAAAATTGAAGCAAAAGCAAAAGTCACTACTGATTTGGACACTTCAGTTTTAATTGACATGTCAAGATGATATGCGGGGGCCTCTCCACTGATCCTAAAATGGGAGGGCAGCAATGTAAAGAAAGTTTCCTATTATCCCTTCTAGTCCCAACTGTGGCAAAAATTTTACCGACACTGTTTTACTTGGGGACTTTTGCTCAATATATTTGTTGCAATCTAAAGATTTATTCAAATACATAATTTGAGCCAAGTTTAATCTTTATTTGGAGAAAAAATGGCGAGGCTCTGAACGGAAAAGACGAAAATTAGTTACGATAATGTCAATCTTGATTTTAATGCCTCTCTTTTGTTCATTGGGCAGAAAATTGTTACCTGCTGTCAGCTTCAAGGGCAGCCAGGAGAGAACTGGTTACCCTACTTCAAGATTATTTTAGCTTTGAAAAGAAGCACACTAGGATAATTCTTAGAAAGTTTTTTGTAAGAATGAATCCTTGTGAATATAATTTCCTGTTCTTTTCCAGGTTCTTTTGAAGTTACAGTCAATGGACAAGTAATTTTTTCAAAATTAAAGGTTGGAAACTTTCCCGATTTTCAAGAGGTATGTTTTTTATTTGATGAAATTTTATTTTGAGTGAAAAATCTTGCAAAAGGTCATTTGCGAATGCCAACAAGTAATACTGCTCGAGGTATTAGATTCAGGTATTATGAGAGGCATGTACGACGATGAATAATTTTTAGAATAGGATTAAAATAACTGCTGAACGTGAGTAGACTAAGTAAGGTTTGAAGATGGCTCAGTGGGTAGTGCAGACTACAGATCAATGGGACTAGGGTTCGAGTACCTTGCATGACTAAGCTTTCACCCAGAGTGAGGGGTGCCAGCTCTCAGCAATTCCTGGTGTAGGAATCATGAGGTGTGGCCAAACCATCAGAGGGTAGGGTGTCTGACTACAGATCAATGGGTCTGGGGTTTGAGTCCTTGACCAAACTTTCACCCAGAGTGAGGGGTTGCCAGCTCTCTGCAATTCCAGGCTTAAGAATCAAGAAGTGTGGTCTTAATAAGAAGAAGGACCAGGACACTGCTCGATAAGCACAGCTTCTCAGTGTCCTAATAAAGTTATTAGGGCCTTTAGTAGATGCTAGTCAGAAATATGTATAAAAGTAAAAGTGCAGGCTTGAGGAGAGGTTCTAGCCTAACAATATCAAATGCAGTTAGTCTCTTCCCAAGATAGGAGATCTGTCTCTCTTCCAGTTGCTAGTTGGATCATATATTTGTGGTTTGTTGTGAACGACAGACAGCATGAACGAGCAGTCAAGGCTCAGGCTAGGCTTACCCATATGGCCTAGGCTTATCAGCAATTACCTTGATCCTTGCTCGTTTGTTTTGTCGAAGCTATGGAACCAGCCACGTAGCTGCAGGGGGGCTGTGTCCCCCCCAAATGAAAATTTTGACAACAGCTTTTTCCCCCTCTGGCTACAGTTTTTCCAAATGATATTTTGAAAATTTGGCATATTTATAATTCCATGACCTTGATTTTGTCCAAATATATCTGTTTGTTATAATCTGTTTTCTAGTTTTAAAGCCTGCCCCCCTCAGGTATGGTTCTTGGTCAAGTTTGCCCTCCCCCCTAGCCGACACCTACAGCTACGTGGTTGTATGGAACAGGATCAGATTCTTGATTTAACAGGATCAGATCAGGAACAGGACCAGCTCATTTAAAAATGGAATTACATGGACCATAGAAGATTAATATGGGCAGAGAGCAATTTTATTTGTAACTGGCAATTACTTAGATTTTTGACTTGATATTTATCGGGTTTTTATGCAATTCTTATTTCCAGGTCTATTTGAGACAATGGTGGACACTTGGTCAAATATTGGGGAGGAGGGAAAACTATTGTTTTGATGAAATGACGTCATATTTCCCATTGTTGTAGTACAAAAGACCATTGTCTTCCTAAATATTGGGAGGGGGCGTCCGCGGGAGAGAGACAACTCGATGATTTGTTGTTTGAGATGGCTTATAACCACAATGATGCCAATCTCTTTGCATTTTCAGGTTGTCGAGATTGTTACAAAGGCCTCTGAAAGTGGCGAGGTAGAGCAGGCTACAAAATTTGAGGAGAGTTCTTGTACAATACTTTAAATAGATTTTAATATTTCAAATTTAGGTTGTTTTGTATTTGTATTTGTAGCTGTTATGAAAATTCAGCCAGAACTTAATTGGCTGAGTTCGATGCCTTCAACTATGAATTCAAATATTTGTTTAATAATACCTATAAATTTGTTGTATAAATGAATGTTTATATAATGTTTTCTGACAAATGAAATGTTCTATTTCCTGTTTCTATGTTGCACCTGAGATATTCTCAGGCCAATCGCTGCTAAGGAAGTTTACTCAAGCTGTTGAAGTGTCGTTAGGGGTGGTAAAGGGGACTTGGTCCGAATCATAGGAAAAAGGTTGAATATCATGTCTCAAGTTGAAGAATCATTGCTAACAATGGGCCTTTGCGAGCGTGGCGACGATCCAAACAATGGCAGTAAACTTCTACGGATTAACCAAAATTGATTTCAGACTGTCTGAAAATGCATTATGGGATGCTTACGTAGCGCAATGGCTCATTGTTAGCAATGAGTCTTTAAAGACTTTTTCCCCAGCCCTGTTGAGAGTCATCTTCGTTATGCTGAAGAAGCCTGGGGGAGTTTATCGAACACTTAGATAACCCCCTATCAGAGACTGCTAAATGGTACATTTGAGATTATTGAAGCATAAAAAATAAAAGACTTTATTTCGACCAAAAAATAGCTTCGATCAGATGTTCCAATTTGGACCAGTCGTTTCTAATGTTTAAAATAATTAACAAGATATGTCCCGAGAGTCTGCACGATAAATTTACCAAACGATTATCGATAAACAAGTACTATACGAGCAACAAGACAGATCTCCAAACCTGAAGATTAAATTTAGACTACAGTAAACAGAGTTTCAATTTCACTGGTCCGAAAACCTGAAATGCTTTTCCAAAGCACATTGGTGAGTCTGACACACCCACCCTGTGTAAAAATGTCCTAAGAAATCATTTTGTAAGCTGAGGAAGAAAGAGGAATCTTTTTGCACATGAATCCGTTAAAGAACAGTATTGTTTTTATAATTTTTAATTTGTCTCTATTTTCTTATATATGTTTTCAACCCTTATTTATAATTAGAATTGATATTTTAGTTTTGTAATTAGGAATTAGGATTAATACTAAATGAATATCGTGGATAAAAGAAATATGAAATTTTACGAAAATCCCTTGCCAGACTCTTTATTTCAACAATATTTTGAGGAAGTTCACTGTCAAGGAGATTTTATGTAAAAAATGTTTAGGAATTAATGGTAAATGAAAGGTAATAAAAAGGTAGTATAAAAAATAATGGAACAAAGGATTTTTCACAACAAATTTTTTCCTTTTTTCTAATTCAAGAGATTCTTTGGATACTTTTATTTCAAACAAGTAACTTTTCATCTATCACAGTTTCATTTCATTCAGAAATGGATGTGATTATTAAAACTATGATTATTTCATAAAAGCGATTCATTGCCTTCGTTGATGCAACAGAGTAAAAGCGGATGTCACAGCTAACGTGTCCCCATAGCTATGGCCTTGGGGCATATGCCTCCGGTTCCTGACCCAATGCTTGTCTCAAGTTTTCGAAATGGGCTTATTTCGCAAAAGATATTTAATGGTGGGGGCTCTCCAGAGGGGTGGGCTTATTCGAAGTTGGGGGCTTGGCAGCAGCCAAAAACATTACGAGGGTAAATTTCTTCCTCTTGTTGAGACTTGTCAGTACTGTATGTTGAAAAATCCTGGGATGAATTTATTGCTATCAGGGCAGTACTACAGCCCATTAGGGCTTGTTGGGGCGTTGGGGTTATTTCTCAAAGATTATTTTAGGGTGAGGGCTTGTTTGAAGTGGGGGGGGGACTTTTTCAAATTTGGGGGCTTCGAGTATTTATGGTATTAAGCAATGTCAGATTTTCAAAAAGACTTTTACCATAACGTCAGGGCCAATAAATGATTGGTTATAAACATAGAACCCTTGAAGGAACCAACTGGACCTCGCATTATTCGTCTCATGTTATTTTAGACCCACACCTGGGTATAAAAACCATCTTAACTTAGTTATTGTCGGACATTAAGAATCCTAGGAGCTCCTTCTTTAAATTTCTTTAAATTTAATGTTCCGTTTTTGTGCTATTTTCAATTATATAATATCAATCTACAATCTTTAGTTCCGAAAAGAATAAGCCCATCACAAAGACACACATCACTTCTTATTTTTGTATAATTTTGTTGTTTCAAATTTAGAATAATAAAAAAGTCCAAAGTAATAAAAAAAGTCAAAGAGGTAATATATGCAAAATAAAGTAGTTAGGATAACAAGTTCGAAAATACGCAAGGATGATGATTGAATGAACCCAAAGTTGCAAAAAAACACAACTTTATCGGGCACTAAATACTTTTACGTTGACAAAACTGAGCTCTCTGTGTTTGGGGGGGGGGCAAATCGTACACAATTCAATTCTCCGTGTTGGTTGCATGGGTAAGGATAATTGGCAAAAATTTTTAGTGTCATTACCAGCAAATTTTGGCAAGCACTTCAGCTTGAAATTTTCCTTTATGTATGGTGCACAATGGGATATTATCCCCTTTTGCTGCCTAGCCCCCTTTTCACCCTAACCACGTTAGAATTTTTCGACCCATCTCCTCCTGCAGTTCTGGTCGCTGCGATTCCCCAAGAGGAAACAAATCACCCACAATGCTGTGCGCCAAGAAGAACATTCAAATGCCAAGATGGCGAAAAAATCGAAGCCTTCGGCAAAGAGAAGCGTTTTTTGGGAAGAAACAAAGCTGTAGCAAGTTAAAGATGAAAGAATGTGGCTTGAAGTAAGATGTAATTCCTTTTTGGGCAAAGAATTGATTAAAAGTCCTTTTCATTGCAATGCTAGTCAGTTTTTTTCGTAAGCAAATTTTTAGGCCTAAATAAGGCATGCAATTTTTTTTGTTCTCTGAAACAGCTGTTGAAAAACTTTTTAGTACTAAGTAATATAAACATGATGAAATACGGCACAGAAGCTCTTGCATTCCAGTCATTTTCCTTGTTTATTTTGCTAATTGTTCCCCATTCATCTACAAGGCTGGATTTGATGTCTTTAAAAAAAGTGGACAATCAGATTCTAGTAAATGTAAAAAATTTAGACCAATTCAGCAGAGTATAAATTCAAATCAATAACATTTGCCTGCTTATTGGTACTCTCTTAAACTAAACCTGAAACTTTCATCTTAATCATTCGGTCCTCTTTTTAAATACAATCTATTTCAATTTTTCATCTACTATTCTTCTCTGGTTTACGTTCTGTAGTCTTGTATGATATTTTACAAGAATTTAATTGTAATTTATATCAAAGTTCGGATTCTGTTTCTTGATTGTTGTCATTCCTCATTATTTCTCAGCATTTTGTAAATTTTTTGTTGTACCTAGCATGAGAAAAGGTATCTTGAAGCGATTGATAAATAAATAACATGAAATGAAATTTGGCTGATTACCAAGTCAGAAAAGAGGTTCACTTACAAGTAGGGGCACTTCACAAACTTCAGAAAATGGTCCCTTAGTTGAAAATTTTATCTAGTGTCTCTTAATATTAAATATGCTTTCAAATGCAAGCTTTAAATAAAGACTCTGAAAGCAGGCCCTTCACTAGGGGGGGGGGGGGCATGTGGAGCATGGTTTCCCCTTGAAAAATAATTCCATTGCAAGATCAAGGAGTTTTTTGCCATCTAGGGGTGCATAGTCAGCAAATTTTAAAACTTGTTGGCAAAGACAGGATGGCTCATCCACTTTATCAGCAAACAGGACTTGGAAACCCCCCTTGAGTACATTAGCAATTGACGGACCTGTCTGCAAATTACATTGGCACATTAAGATTTCTGTGACATTCTGCCATTGAGCTGAGGGAAGGAATAAACTTTTAAATTTTGTAGCTGCTTAATTGGTTCAAAGCAATCATTTCCACTCCATCTTTAAAATAATGATTTTCAAGCAACTTCTTTAAGATAAGGGTAATTTCTATAATTTATTTAATTTATTTGATCATCTTACAACTTTGTTTCTTATAATGTTGATCATATTTTGAATATTCTGTGCATCTGTTACAGATTCAATGAAAAAAGACAAGTGATATGATGGAAGCAAAGACAACGGCTTCAAGAAGCATCTTGGTTAGTTTATTCTTGATACTTTGAAAGTTCATTATTTGTTAAGTTGTATTTATCAGGGTTTTTTTAAGTGAATAGGTGCTGAAACCCCCTTGTTTATTGATGAGTCATTTTTCTAATATCTTGAAATTTGTCCAAATTATGTTTGCAGGCAGCGACTATTTCCAGTTTTCCCAATTGTTTTCGAATACTCCTGTAATTCTTTGCCTTTCACCTTTGAAACGTTTCCTTTCGTTCCAGTCGAGTCTGCTTCCCTGATATAGAGACATATTAAAGTAGTTTGATATTGTATTTTCATTTCTATTAATGAACGTTATTGGAATAGCAAAGCTTTGATGAAATAATCTAAAGGCTGGCGAATTAGGTGTTAGAATTATGAATAGACATATTAGCCAAAAGTTCAAGCAATGTTTTAACTTGAATTTGACTGGATCATTTTTCCTTAATTAGAGTATGTTTTCAGACTTCAGACATGCTCATCTCATCTTCAGCTAAATAAAAAAATATGAGTGATGTTTGATTAATCTTTTTTGTTCATACAGCTTGGCCATGATGCCTGCCTGATTCAATGCTAGCTGTTGTATTGATGCAATGAAAGGACAATGACAGTAGTTAGTGAATAAAAAGTCACATCAAAGAATGATTCCCAAAACAGATCAGTTGATGAATCACAAATCATAACAGGAATCACAAATCATTTGATGATGAATCACAAATCAGAACAGTTGATGAATGACATAAGGTATGCAATCTTCATATCACTGATTTATGTTAAGCTTAAAATGATGAACTCAAAGGATCTCCGTTGGATCAAAATATTGTATATTCTTGACACATTCCAAACAACACGTCCACAAAGAGTTTTTCTAAAAATAAGACTGACAGTTTTTCTAGGCTAATGGAAATATCGTAGTCATAAAAATCATTTTTTGTGAAAGCAACTATTCAGCCAATTTTTTCCTGAAGTTTGGAGTCTTTGTTGCTAGACTAAGTGTGTTCATATAGATTGCAGTAGTAAGCACGATTGTTAAAACTGCTAATGAATTGATTGCACAAGTCCAGTTGATCTTCAATTTGATTGGTTAAGACCACGCTACTTGTAAGTTGATTAAGACCACGCTTCAAATCCGATTCACGAATGATGTTTTGGGAAGCGTCTGATCTATTTTCGAATAAATCTTGGCCTACTTGGCACACATTTACCATTTTTACCCATTATCAGTCATTCTATAGAAGTTTCCTATTGTGTTTGGGTTGATGGACTACATCTCTCTCTCTCTCTCTCTCTCTCTCTCTCTCTCTCTCCCTCTCTCTCTCCTCTCTCTCTCTCTCTCTCTCTCTCTCTCTCTCTCTCTCTCTCTCTCTCTCTCTCTCTCTCTCTCTCTCTCTCTCTCTCTCTCTCTCTCTCTCTCTCTCTCTCTCTCTAAGTACAATGTCCAGTGAGGACGTTCGTGATCGTGATTCTCCACAGCTTTTTGCCTCTTGGTCTTCCCAGCAGATCTTGTTCTGACACCTTTGGTCTCTCCAATTCAGAGATAAACATTCAGATATTTATAATTTCACTATAAATGCGTGCATGACCGCTGCAAATTAATTCGTGATGTTTTTAGAAGCCCTCTGATCTTTTGCTAGCTAAATCGACCCCGATTTGTCACACACTGTTATAAATCCAGCCCATTGATTTATCAAAACCAGGCTCGTTGCACGTTGATTGGTTAGACGTTATTACACCCCTCGCAACATGCTCTTTGTACCGAGACGCTGTCTCTAAACAAGATAACCCTGAAAGACATAAGAGCCTAACTTATTTGCGTATAGATCAACGCAATAAAAAGTATTTTGTCTCAAAATGTTGCGAGTATTTCCTTACAATGCAATGGCTGTTGATTGTAACTTAGGCTGTGGTATTTATGCTGCTAAACAAATCTCTTGCCGATGAGTTTTAGGAACACAAAAGTGTAATCACGAACATCTGAGGTTTGAAAAAGACGTCATCAATCTCGTCAAAAGAAGTCTTTGTTAATCCACAAAATAAACTTCGGCAAGCTGCAATAAAAAAATTTTTTTGTGTGAACAAATTCTGTTTATCCCTGTCTCCTTTCAGGTTCGCAAAATGTTTCCAATGATCGTGACAACTCCATGTCTCCTCTCGTGCAATAGGTTACTGAATTTGACCTTTGTTTATGAAACGAACCTAAAGCTTCAAGGCTTTAGATAAAAAGATTTTTCATCCATCCATGTTTGCAATGGTCGCCTTACTAGAATTCTTTGTAAAGTTTTCCTTCCATGCACGTGTTTTCTCTTTTTCCATGCTCGATACACATGTCTTATTCATTCGAAAGGTTTCTCTCTATTTTTTTGCAACGCTTTTCTCTCTGGTATTAAATGCAAAGGTTTTGCTTTGTTTTCATTGCAACGCTTTGCCAATCAAATTAGAGTATGTTTTCAGACTTCAGACATGCTCATCTCATCTTCAGCTAAATAAAAAAATATGAGTGATGTTTGATTAATCTTTTTTGTTCATACAGCTTGGCCATGATGCCTGCCTGATTCAATGCTAGCTGTTGTATTGATGCAATGAAAGGACAATGACAGTAGTTAGTGAATAAAAAGTCACATCAAAGAATGATTCCCAAAACAGATCAGTTGATGAATCACAAATCATAACAGGAATCACAAATCATTTGATGATGAATCACAAATCAGAACAGTTGATGAATGACATAAGGTATGCAATCTTCATATCACTGATTTATGTTAAGCTTAAAATGATGAACTCAAAGGATCTCCGTTGGATCAAAATATTGTATATTCTTGACACATTCCAAACAACACGTCCACAAAGAGTTTTTCTAAAAATAAGACTGACAGTTTTTCTAGGCTAATGGAAATATCGTAGTCATAAAAATCATTTTTTGTGAAAGCAACTATTCAGCCAATTTTTTCCTGAAGTTTGGAGTCTTTGTTGCTAGACTAAGTGTGTTCATATAGATTGCAGTAGTAAGCACGATTGTTAAAACTGCTAATGAATTGATTGCACAAGTCCAGTTGATCTTCAATTTGATTGGTTAAGACCACGCTACTTGTAAGTTGATTAAGACCACGCTTCAAATCCGATTCACGAATGATGTTTTGGGAAGCGTCTGATCTATTTTCGAATAAATCTTGGCCTACTTGGCACACATTTACCATTTTTACCCATTATCAGTCATTCTATAGAAGTTTCCTATTGTGTTTGGGTTGATGGACTACATCTCTCTCTCTCTCTCTCTCTCTCTCTCTCTCTCTCTCTCTCTCTCTCTCTCTCTCTCTCTCTCTCTCTCTCTCTCTCTCTCTCTAAGTACAATGTCCAGTGAGGACGTTCGTGATCGTGATTCTCCACAGCTTTTTGCCTCTTGGTCTTCCCAGCAGATCTTGTTCTGACACCTTTGGTCTCTCCAATTCAGAGATAAACATTCAGATATTTATAATTTCACTATAAATGCGTGCATGACCGCTGCAAATTAATTCGTGATGTTTTTAGAAGCCCTCTGATCTTTTGCTAGCTAAATCGACCCCGATTTGTCACACACTGTTATAAATCCAGCCCATTGATTTATCAAAACCAGGCTCGTTGCACGTTGATTGGTTAGACGTTATTACACCCCTCGCAACATGCTCTTTGTACCGAGACGCTGTCTCTAAACAAGATAACCCTGAAAGACATAAGAGCCTAACTTATTTGCGTATAGATCAACGCAATAAAAAGTATTTTGTCTCAAAATGTTGCGAGTATTTCCTTACAATGCAATGGCTGTTGATTGTAACTTAGGCTGTGGTATTTATGCTGCTAAACAAATCTCTTGCCGATGAGTTTTAGGAACACAAAAGTGTAATCACGAACATCTGAGGTTTGAAAAAGACGTCATCAATCTCGTCAAAAGAAGTCTTTGTTAATCCACAAAATAAACTTCGGCAAGCTGCAATAAAAAAATTTTTTTGTGTGAACAAATTCTGTTTATCCCTGTCTCCTTTCAGGTTCGCAAAATGTTTCCAATGATCGTGACAACTCCATGTCTCCTCTCGTGCAATAGGTTACTGAATTTGACCTTTGTTTATGAAACGAACCTAAAGCTTCAAGGCTTTAGATAAAAAGATTTTTCATCCATCCATGTTTGCAATGGTCGCCTTACTAGAATTCTTTGTAAAGTTTTCCTTCCATGCACGTGTTTTCTCTTTTTCCATGCTCGATACACATGTCTTATTCATTCGAAAGGTTTCTCTCTATTTTTTTGCAACGCTTTTCTCTCTGGTATTAAATGCAAAGGTTTCCCTCCATTTTTGTTTGCAACACTTTCCTTTCAGGTATTACATGCTGAGGTTTCCCTCCATTTTTGTTTGCAACGCTTTCCTTTCTGGTATTACATGCTGAAGTTTCCTTCCATTTTTGTTTGCAACACTTTCCTTCTCTTTCTGGCATTACATGTAAGAATTTCCTCCCAATGTCGTTTTCAATGCTTTTCTCTCAGCTATTAATGTAAATGTAAAAGTTTCGCAGGTTTTCCTCAATAGCCATTTGCAATTATATTTTTTCCAAAAGGGTTCTTACCAAGAGACGCTGTCGTAAAATGTATTTTAAACCTTTTGTTACCAGCATTTCAACTTCTTTCATTCCTGTTCATTTTCATAAGTTTCCTGATTTCAACTAAAGCATTTCAAATATTTTCCTTCCATCTGACTCGTGAATCATTTTAAGATAGGACTTTAAACTTATTAAAATGAAATCTCAAACAAGCAGAACAAATATGGAAGTATTTTCCGGCCGTCCAGAAGAACCATTTCTATTCTTCTTTTTTTGAAAGAGTTTATTTTTGAAGCTCACAAATGTTTTCGTAACTTGAAGTTTCAACGACTTCCTATGCATATTTAGATAGATATACTGCACAAGTTTTGGTTTCAATTTTACCATTACACATACTCAAACATTGAAAGTTTTGCTAAAGACATTTCAGCGTGGGAGAGAGCATAAACACATGCCCCTGTCGTTTTGTCTTCTCCCATAATTCTCCTTCTCAAAATCCTCTTGGAAAATGCTGGATATATTAGACCTTTCGAGAACCATAATTTATATTAAACAGCCCTCTTGAGAGCTTTTGGAAGTGACTTTTTTCCGTTTTCCATTGAAGTCAATGAATTATTCATGAAGTCCTTACTTTTCAAAATGGATTTCATGAATTCATTTTTAAGATTACTGCTTAGTCACTTTTAACCAGACTCGACCATGCCTCGACATATTTTATTGGTTTCCAAATCACTATCAAATTTTTCCTAAATAGCTAGAGAAATATCATCAGATTTTTTGGATATTTGGACG